TATATATATATATATATATATATATATTCTTTCCACATTCGCTTGGTATTTGCAGTGAATGCCCATGCATCTCGAAATCCAGTGGGAGAAAATTTATCTTTCCTCTGACTGAGATGCTGTAATACAGTACCTGCTTCAGCTAGGTGTCACTGTTGACATCTCTAATCCTCCTTTCCTTAAACATAGTAAGGCCTCCTTTCCATGTTCACCATTGCCATGCATCTCTTGAGCCTGCCTTGTTTTTTGATAGGGTTTCTTGCCATCCGAGAGATTTTCCTCTGTCTGATGGCTTTACTTTATAGATATTTGAATGCCTTCCATCATGGTTTAATTGGACAATGTATTTTTTCATCCTTGTATAATGCTTACATGCTCCTAGGCTCTGTTTTCCTAATTACTTTGTAGGGTGGTAAAACTTGCATTTGCTCAGTTCTCACCACTATACTCTTGATTTGCGTAGATTCACCTGCAAGGTTTCCTTTTCAGCAATGTTGTCTGTCAGAGATTTTAGCAAGAGGTTACAGTGCTCTAATACAGTGGCACAGTATTTGCCAAGATTTTATCACTTTCACTGCCAGTGTGTGATACTATGATTGGTTATCTGTCCACATGAAGGCCTTTGTCTTGTGCAATAACAGTACAGTGTACCTGTCTATATCAGCCTCCTTTTCTGGTGAGTATGGGCTACACATTTCCTTGACACCTCTGCATCAAAGGTAAATACCTTCCCTTATTTGGAATTCTTTTTTTCTGGTTATGGCATCTGTAATAGAGGCTTGCTCAAGGAAGCAACCGAGTGTGATTACTCGGAAATAGTTTTTTGAGTCGACATGAAAATCGGCTTTCTAGGCTGGACCATTCAGTTGCTTCTGATCTCGCCCATCATCTCATTCTCTCCTGTGTGCATATTTTCTGTTTTGGTCAGGGAGGTGATATGAACCTCCCTGACTAATTACATTACCAGCCACACCACATTAACAAGAGCACCAGAAAAGTGCTGTATCTGTCTGACAGTGGTGTATTTATCTAACACTAACATTAAAAATCTTGCTTCTAGTCTTTTCACTTTTTAAATTTCTCTTATACTCACTCCATTTTATATAACTAAATTTTCAGGCCAAAGGATGGTGGTGGCTTTTTTGATGGCCTATCAAAGGAAATATTTGGCGATTCACTAGATCGACGCAGAAGGTCATTGCATGTTTTGAACTCGAAAAGTCTTTCATATCCATCAGGGCTACAAAAGTCCCCTCTATCAAATCACTCTCAGTACAAGAAATACTTGGAAAAATTAAAAAAATCAAAGCACAGGAAGAAGAGGTTTTTAGATTTTTTTGATTTTTGGGGTAAGTTATACTGTATATAGCATAGTTCAGTATATGAAAATTATATGTAGTAATGATATATACTGTATATACATACTGCATTTATAAAAGTTATGTTGGTGGTGTTGTTATCTTTGTTTATTCAGGTCTCTAATTATTAATGTGTCTTTCAGGAGACACTATCTGGCCACTAGCATACTCGCCCAATAACACAGCTGTACACAAGTTGATGTCCATAGTGACAAAGAGACTCAGTGTTGATATTGAAGGTGGGGTTCCTAGTCGATAAATATACCATGCAAATCTCTCTTGATGGTTAAATATATATAATAATGCCTCAAATTCCTCTCTAGGCTCATATACAAAAGATACAGTATACATATAAATTCGTTCTTAAACAATATGCTGTCAAATTTCTTTATACCGGGTATTTAATTTTTAAAATTTGTTTATACTTTTTCTCTGCCTCAGAAAGGCCAAATGTTTTCATAACACATTTAAAGGTTTCAAATGAACAAAGTTAATGTATTTTAAAGGATTTTACAGTACATCCACAAATATGAATGTATTCTTGTAGCTTGCTCTTCCCTTAAATTATATTGTATATTGTATTTACATTTGCCTTTATTGCTTCTCTGTATTTAGCATCATAATATCATTTACTATCTCTGAAACTTGTGTGTCTGTATCAGTTTCAGGTAAATTTAATAAATAGAAATTACTGTACTTGTACCTAATAAATATTGTGTTTATTGGAGTACTGTATCTTTAAATGAAAAGAATCTGTAGAATATGTCTGACAATATTTGTGTTTAGCAGGCTTTGGTTTTTCAACTGAAGAAGAGCTGGTGAAATACCTCACCAGGTTCTCTAAGAAGAATGATGAAGATTCTATTGAGGACGTTCTGGGAGGTGTTGTGTTCACCAATGCATTTCCTGACGACGATATTCTTCCTGAAAAATTAAATGTGAGTTGTTGCAATACTTGATTGTATTTCTGAGCTTACAACATGTGGTCCTCCTTTAGACAAGAGTCCCACTTTCCCAGGAGTTGGTGTGGACTCCAGCCAGGGTCAGTGGGAGCTTCATCACTCTCATCACAGCGAGGATCTTTTTAAATCATTTGTGATGTGTCATATACACTATTGGTAAAAGGTAAAACTGGAGAATTCTCATTCAAGCCCTAAGTGACCTCAGATGGTATATTTACTTACACTTAAATACCCTCTTTCAAGTAATTTGGTATTGTATGTGGATTGAAAAGGAACTGCTAAATATTGCTGTGTTAATACTAACTACTGTACCATCTGCTAGTTGCCCACCTGGTCACTACCTCTACCCAGGTGACAGCATTGCTTGTGTAAACAGATAGCAATCTGGGATTCTGCTGCATTAAGGTCAAACTACTGACCCTCTCCAAGATGCAGCCTCACAACAAACCAACTAACTCCTGGGTACCTATTTACTGCTAAGTGAACAGATGCATTAGGTGATAGGACACGTGCCGAATGATTCCTGTCCCACCCGGGATTCAAAAACAAAATTCCTGATTGAGTCGACAACAAACCCAACTGTACTACCAGAGCCCCAATTAGGAGTTTGCTAACGGCAAAATTGCTGGGAGTGTTGGTGGCAAGCAGCAGGAGGAGGAGAGTGAGGAGAAATGCACAATAAAGTAGACTACAATCAGTATCTGACCTTTGTTAATTATCTGTTAGGTGCTACCTGGTAATGATATTGCAGGTCTGTACCCAAACTTTAGTGGCTAAGGAGTTTTACCTGATGGTGGTAAAAAAAAAAAAGAAGTAAAGACATAAGAAAATTTCCAATCATATGGGCAAATCTCATATTCAAAAGACAAGTTGCAGAGCCTTTGAAACAGGCCCCTCTTGACTAGTGCAAGGGCTCCCTTGACTAGTGCAGGAACCCCCCCCACCCTTGACTAATGCAAGGCCCTACCCTCCTTAGACTAGTGCAAGAGGCCCTCCTTGACTAGTGCAGGAACCCCCCCCACCCTTGACTAATGCAAGGCCCTCCTCCCCTCGACCAGTACAGGGGCCTTTCCCCTCAGACTGTTTTTCAACATATAACACTGCCATTTACATGTCTCTGTCCTGGGTTATGCACATCACAAGGGTCTCTCTCTCTCTCTCAATAATTTTTATTACATTTCTAGCAAACAACATTCTTGTAAAGCCCAGGCAATGTTTCAAACGTGTAAATGTTCCTGTATTGTTTAGGAAAGCTGTTGCATGAAACATTCTAAATGCAGATTACTTGAAGAAATAAGCTAATAAAGAATAATAAATGATTGATAGATTATTAGAGTATTGAAAGTTTTCTTTTAGCAGTTTTCCATTTTGTTTACATTGTTTTCATTTAATTTTCATTACAGTACAAAATCCGATTGAAAGGCTCATTGCGGAGTTCTGAAAAAAGGAATCCCTTTCTTCCTCCACCTCAATGGTACACCGAGCTCTCGTATCCACTCTTCCAAGTTCCAGGTCCACGAGACCGGGACAAGAATAATGGTGGAAGACCTGGTAAGCTTTATGGACTCTTGCTAAAATTGTCTCGTTCATACACAATGTTATGCTCATTAAATTTAGGAGTTCATGATATACAGCAATCTGTTTCTATTGGTTGGATATCCATCATTTGGGAGTGAAATTAAGATTTCTCTCAGATGCACTAATCAGTACGAGAAATAAGAGTTTGAATGTCATGTTTTGCTGTTGGGTTTTAATTTTATGTTTACATTTTTGGGTATTGATAATTTTTATTGACACAATTTGCATAAATTTGCATAAAATTTATAAAATTTGCTCGCATAAAAGCAAATGATGCATGGAATGAGTAAAAAAATGCTAAATTTGTATCCCACTGAGTTAACTTCCTCTGAGAGCTGGGATTTTGCTGGACTTAATAATACTGAAAATAATATTAATAATAATAATAATAATTTTATATAAATTGTGGTATGATTACAGTATAAATTTTGTGTATGGTATTTATATATTTTTCATTGTCAATAGGCATTTTAACATCCATGCTTCCATTATTTATATCATCACAAATATTGGTGCAAATTGTTTCTTCAAAAATGATTGGTTATCAGAATACAGTACAAGAACAGTAAAACTATTATCTGGCACTGCTAAGTGGAAAATTTTCTGGCACTGCTAACAGGAAAACTTGTATCTGGTACCATCATAAAAACTGCTATATGGCACTTCTAACAAAAAAAAACTATATGGCACTTATAGCAGAAAAACTTATGTGATGCACTTGTAATTTTTTTTTATCTGACACTGTTAAGAGAGCTGTTATATAGCGCTGATAACATAACTTTTTATCTGACACTGCTAATAGATTTTTTATATCGCACTGCTAACACTCGGGCTGTCTTGCGCTGCTAAGACAAAAAGAAAAATTATATTAGAGGGAATTTAAAAATATTGTCAATTATCAAACTCTAGTAACTTGCCTAGAAGATGAGGCATATAAGAGGTTACTAATTAGCAAATTTAGCATTTCAATTCCCCTTATATTCAAGCTACATACAGTATATGTATTTAGTTATAGTAATAATATAACGTAATTGTAATGACATCTGGTAATGTTATAAAATGGATAACCTCTCATAGAGCAGGACACTATGCAGTTCTTTACTATACGTATGTACATTGGAGGAAGCTCTCACTTATCTTTAAATTTACCCATGTCTTCGAATTAATATTATTATGGTAGTAGTGTAATAGCAAACATTCATGATAACATTTGGCAATCTCATATTCCTTTATCAGACAGGTTTTAAATTTAGACTAAAGTATATAAGTAGGTCTTATTGTATACTGTACACTGTACTGGACTTTCTTAATTATAACTAGCATATACAGTTTTATGTTGCCTAGTACTGCCTATGTCTTGGTGGTTGTAAATAGTGCTTGCTGCATTTGAGATAGTTGTGGGTGTTGTACTTCCTTCAGTATTATTTACGTTTGGTTACCACATTGAAGATGGAGATGCTGTTTGCTTCATCAACCTTGGTTATGTTAAATTTATAACAATAGTGTTCTCTCTCCAGGCTACTATGATGAAGGATTTTTGGCTATTCAACATGCAGTTGACATGAGCATTGCAGAATATTTTAGTGGCTTAAACCCTGATCGTAAGTATACTCAGTAGTTGTCTAGTATGTTTCTATTAAAACCTATTTACAGTTTCAGGAAGACCTATGGTCATGTTATCTTGGCTTGTTTGCCTGCTTTATCATAAATAATTTACAATCTTAGTTACTGTAGCATACACCACCACCTGATAGTTTTTCAACTGTCTACCTTTTATATCCATTTTATAGATTGTGATAAAATTCTAAGGAATTCATATACAGAAAGGACCCAAGAGTCATTATAAGAGATGTTTTCATCAGAAAATTACACAAATGCTAATGGGAGAAAATTGCACACAATGCTGGCAGTTTTTTTCATAGATTTTGTAATAACTTGTAATTTGTAAGTCGCCTCTACTTTCTTTCTGTATCCGATTTCCTTAGAATCCTGTTACACAAAATCTATAACCCTAAAGTACCAGTTCCCATTGCTCTTCATTTTTATTACATAGCATTTGTCTACTTGAAAATATTTCATCCTGTTTATATTCCCTATTTACTGTATGTACAAGTCAAATTTAAAGCTTTTTACAATTATTTTGTTTTCTTACTTTGCACAAAATTTGTACATGATCTGTTCACATAATTACTCATTATGGCATAATACAGTGGATGATTTCCACTGACCGAATGATGCAGATTTCTGCATCACTCGATCAGAAATGTTAAGGCCAGCACTAAGTGGGTGACTGTGGACTCGGTCTCATCCTTGGTCACAGGCATCTCAATAAGCCTAGCACTTTCCCTGTCCACAATTGTGGTATACCATACAATACAGTACTGACACAACACTGTATATCTTTATCTTTTGCACATAAATAAGAATTGTCATATCTAGATAAATTTTGAGTATTTTATACCTGAAAAACTTCAGCTAGTAACAGGCAGTATTGTACTTGAATTTGTCTTGTCATCTTAATGATGACCTAAGAGATAATCTTGATAATATTTTTTTGTAAAAAAAATTTCTTTGAGCAATTCATCTAGTATTGTTGCATAGCTAAGTCTCAAATCCTTGTCCACAGGTTTTTATGCAGTACAAATGCAGCGAATGCCATACCCAGCCTTCATAGATGACAATTATCTGGTGGCATTACAGGCATGGTTGCCATTTGTTCTTCTCGTATCATATATTTATCCCGCTATCAACATTGTCAAGAGCGTTGTGTATGAGAAAGAAAAAAAACTGAAGGTAACTATAACATATTCCTTACCTTTGGTTGAATGAGTGGTGTCTTTTGCTCGCACGGTGTAATGATACAGTAGTTACAGTAAAACCGCCAGTCCTCGGCTATCTAACCACCGCAACCTGTTTTCGGCAGAAACTTCATAGTGCAATTGTCAAAGACACATTTTTGTTTTTATAAATGTTCAGGTAAAGTTAATGTCAAAATGTTTCCAAACTCAACCATTTTCATTTCAAAATACAAAGAATGATGAAAACATTAAAAAAAAACGTTAAATTACAGCTTAATTAAAAAAAAAAAAATGCATAACTCGGAGCATCTTAGGGCGCTCTGCGCAGAACAAGTGGTTGAAAAAATTATTGCCGTTTCAGTTGGAATAAAAAATTAATCGATCATTTTGAAATAACCTATGGTATGATTTAAGAGATGTTTATTTATAAGTTGACTCTAAAAATACTTTGTTTGATACTGCATCTCAGGAAGCACTGTATTAACTAAAAATATGTTGGCAGCAGAAATTTAAGTGCATGCCAACATTGTTGGTTATGAACCATATAAATATCTCTTGAACCAGCTTGAATGTCACAGGTCTTGGAGTCTTTTTCTCTCACTACTTTAAAATATTTAGTTTATTGTCACTGTTTCTATTCCAATTTTGTACAAGTTTTTCTCTTTATCATTTTCATCATTTCTATAGTTATTCTTGTTTTATGAAATACAAAATGCCCCATAATCCACAACCCTCCCATGAATACTTCAAAAAGAAAATTCTTGGCTCACTTGCTGTTGGCATCTGTAATGCCAACACCTAGAGGCGTCGGATAAGTTCTTCTTTAATTTTCACATCTTAGTTATACATTTTTGTTAGTTCATGCATTCATGTGTGCTAACCCAGCTGGGGTTGTATTTACCAGAATTTACTCTAGGGCCACCATCTCCTAGTGGCCTCATTGGGGATAGATGTGTCTTAAAGATCCCTGCATCATTCCTGAGAATTTTTTCCAGCTAAATTTTGAAATTTTGAACCGAGAATGAGATGGCTGGTTTCACATGGGCATAGGTAATAATTTACCTGATTTACCCGAGGGCCACTAACCCTAGTGGCCTCGACGAAGACAGGAAGTGGGCAGCTTGTCGAAGTTTCCCCCCCCCCTCCCATTTGCCTTGATGATCTTTTCCAGGTATGCTGCATTTTAAAACTTGACACGGTTTTGGCAGTTACAGCTTCGACAAGTAGGCAGTTCCATGGGTCGATAACCCTTTGGGTAAAAATCATGTTTTCAGTCCTACACTGTGGCTTGTTGAGCTTGAAACCGTTGCTCCTTGTTTGTGTTACATTTGACCTTCTGAAGAATGTCCCGATCAACATTCTCTTAACTTGTTCAGTATTTTAAAAGGTTCAATGAGATCTGCCCTGTCATGCCTGGTTTGCAGTGTTGTTAACCCTGTGGCCTTCAAGCATTCCTGATTTGAGAGATGACCGCTCTGGAAAGATTTTTGTTGCCGGTGTTGCACTTTCTCCAGAGCAGCTACGTCCTTCTGAAAATGAGGTCTCATGCAAGGATGTAGTAATCGAAATGCACCAGAAATTTATACAGTTGAACCATCACCTTCTTTTCCTTTAAGTCAAAAGTACGCTTGATTATCCCAAGAGTTTGGTTAGCTTTTCTGACTGCTGCACCCAGTAAGGCTCCCCACCTTTCATCCCTCTCATTGTATGATGAAATTGCATTAATGTGATGTACCTATGAGAAAACATTCAAGCACAGTAATGGGATAGAACTTGCATCTCTGGACTTCCCAGATATGCTACCTACACTAGAGTGTGGGTATGCGTCTTGTAACACTCAAAGTAAGTCTGATTTGAACCTCGGGTTCAGATATTTTTAAACCCGTCATGGTACAGTGGGTAGTGTGCATATCTAGGGAGTCCAAGGATACAGGTTCTGTCCCATTACATCATCTTAATATTTTCTCAGATAATATTGTGATTTATGTGTACAGTATTATGTATTCTAGCTAAGGGGGGTAATAGTTCATCCTAGGACTAGTTACATTTCAGGAATATGTAAGGTGTTAATTTGACCTGTTCTATTGTTATGATGTCTAAATTTATTGTTTACAAATCAAATTACCATTATTAATTTAAATGTGTATTTTTGTACAGGCATTTAAATATTTAAATTGTGCAACAAATTTTTCAGGAATCTATGAAAATGATGGGTTTACAAAACTGGTTACATTGGTCTGCCTGGTTTATTAAATCTTTCATGTTCTTGGCTACAACTACAGCATTTATCACCATCCTTCTCTGTATACACTGGTAAGTCAATTACAGAACAGAATTCCATTTTCAGCTCCAACATTGTGTGTACATTGTGCATTGGTGCATCTAGGATGTGCAAGTGTTCTGGGAACCACTTGAAGCACTGAGCACTTTAATATAAAGTCAGATAAGCTATCCTTGGATAGTGGAAAAAATAATTTTCTTCATGTATGATCTTTGACTATATCATAGACCAATGTGCATCGGTGAAAGCAAGGAAGTTGCAGTTGTCATTTTCATGTAGTGCCATAATTTATCATTTAAAAGATTAATGAACTGAACTAGTATTTTTGAGTAGATATTATGGTAAAGTTATCCCAGAAATGGGTGTTAGATGTTTGGACAGGGTCACAATTTCAGGACTTGCCATAGGCACTATTTTCCCTAGATATGCCACTGACATTGTGAGCACAGCACAGTATTCCAGAACAACTGGTGCTCTTCCATTAAAGTTTATAAATATTTCTTAATATTTTAATACCACTGCACTATTAAGCAGGTGATATTTGAAAATTTCCCTATGATGCTGTTCAATAAATGGAAAAACGCTGTTTGACTGCATAATGTTCACCCTTATTACAGTAGTTCTTACCTTAAAGGGGCAACCAAGAGGGTCTGCTTAGAAATGTCATTTTCATAAACACTTGGTGCCATTTATTTTAATCTGTATGCACAGTCTTCATATACATACCTTAGAAAACAGTTACCATTATCTGCACAAGTTCTTTTATAATTTGCAACTTTGTGAATATATGTAATGGTACATAAAATAATCTAAAGGAAGTACTGTGATCTGGTGTGCCATACAAATTACGGAAAGTTATTTATAAGTAATATGTAAGAGGAAATTTGTGGCAACTACTGAGCTTCACCACACAGGCATGGAGCGGGAAGCCTGGCGGTGCTGAGCAAGAGTGACCCGTCTCTATTGTTTGTGTTTCTTCTCCTGTATACAACCTGCTCCATTAGTTTTGCCTTCTTCCTCTCTACACTCTTCTCAAAAGGTAGTGTAAAATATTTCATGTAATTACTGTTTATATAAAACAAATTAATTTATATATTAATATTAAATGTGTGTATGTCACGAAAATAAACACGTGATTAAAAATGTGACGGTGTCAGACCGCGGAGGAAAATTGAAACAGGAATTTCCTTAAGTACTTTCGTATATTAATACATCTTCAGAAGGAGCCATTAATATTAAATGTTTTGCATTCCTTATCTGAATCATGAATAGTACCTAATCTGTATATTTTCCAACATTCTGACATTGAGTAAAACAGTAGTGATTTTGCCTCATATAGGAGAATTCCAATACACTGTATGTAGCAAAACTGTGCTACACTAAGATCCTTCTCTATATAAAACACGAAGTTCACTATAGTAGAGATAAAAAAGTTATTTTACACTCCATTTTCATTCACCTGTTTAGTATTCTTTGGTATTCACCCTTGATTATAATGTCAGAGCATCTGTAGAAATTTGCATGAAGTTTTTAAATATTAATCCTTAACATAGTTGAAGTTATACTGTACTTGAATGGAATGATAGACTGCATTGTACTTGATCAGTTAAATTTTGTATGAAAAAGGAATAAAAGTAGCAAGCAGAAAATGCCTTGGAAACATTTGTCAATTTAATTCTTAATTCTGAAGATTACTATAAACCTTGATTGGTTTTGCTGACCCTGTGTAAACAGAAGTTATACAAACAAAAATTGGTAGATAAATTTATACATCAGTTTCCATGTTAATCAAAATCATTATTATTTTTAAATCGGTTCTAAAGTTTTTCTTTACTTGCAGCCAATAGTGCAGCCGCAGCAACTGGCCTGGTGTGGTTCTTCACGTATGTCCCGTACATGATACTCCGGCCACGTTATGCCACCCTCACATTCACTAACAAGATTATGCTTTGCCTTCTCTCCAATACTGCTATGAGTCTTGGGTGCCAGCTTACTTCCATGTTTGAAGGTACTGGTTCGGGCATACAGTGGAATCTCCTCTTCAGTGGGGTCTCTCCTGACGACTCTTTTACTCTGGCTCACGTGTTTGGTATGCTGATCTTGGACGTCGTTGTCTTCTCATTCTTGACATGGTACATTGAAGCTGTGTGGCCTGGAGAATTTGGAGTACCACTGCCTTGGTATTTTCCATTTCTGGTATGTGAATTAATGAAGATTTTTTTTCTTTGTATGTACAGTATTTCTTTTTGTATGTGTTGATGAGCATTTCTCATTCTGCATGGTATGATTCATATATCTTTATGTATAGGGAAGCTACAGTAAGATTCTGAATTTATGGAAAATTTTGTTTTCACAGACGTTGTGTAAAATAGTTTTTTTAAAATGTTCAAAATTTCACGGCGAAAGTACGATACAGTATATTCTTAGTTAAAAAATGTTGATGCATAAAATAATGGAAATATTATATGTAAAATATTGTATGTACTGTAAAATTAGAACCTTTGTTGGCATAGCACACTGTAAAATATCTTTGTAATCTCGTCTAGCTTTAAAGTGCCTCTTCAATAATTCTATTTTGTAAAGTTCCCTGCTGTCAACCCCCGTCTCTACCACTCTACAGCTCCTTAGTTGGGAGAAGGAAGAGAGAGTAAGGAAGAAAGGGTAAGAAATTAGGGAAGAGGAGAAGTGAGGAATGGATAAACAGTGGAGGTTGTTGGAAGACTAGTAGGGAGCGAATAGAAAATGGGGAAGAGAATGGGAGTCAGGAGGAGAGGAGAGGAGGAAAGAGGATAATAGGAATATATATATTTATAGAGAGAGAGAGAGAGCGAGCGAGCTTAAGAGCTACTTAATACTAAATGTTTCCACCACCCTGTCACTCGAAGATCTTCACACATGCTAAGCAATGTGACAGGGAAAACTGCTTAATAAATTTACTGAGTGCACACACTGCACATAGCCCATGGTGTGGAGGGTGCTGCCTTGGGGTGACAGTGAGGAAAGTGACCACACTCTACGCAGCTCTCGCCAATCCTTACAATCCTAGCTCCCTAGTGAAAACCCATTTTAACTCCACTAGTTTTACTTAAGAAAACAGTGCTCATTACTACCTTCTGGTTTTATTCTATGGGACATCAATAAAGGGGATGAACAAAACTCCTTGTATACAGTTTCAGAGAGCACTTTATTTACCAAACACTTAAAAATTTACTAGTTAAACAATGAAATCTTTAAACACTCACTGTATTTATTCCTTAACACTGGAATTGATTAAAAAGGGGTGGGGGGCATACAATTACTCCACACACCCTCAACCATACTTGCTTACTGACTCAGACTACACTTATTCACCAAACCCTTATTTTAGTCAAGATAATGCATTACTGACACTCTTACCTCTGAATCTAGATCTTCACCCACAGGGAATGTCTGGCCCCCACCACCAGGGGTCAACTTTAGGGGCAGGGGTGGAACTGGCTGGTATCCTCTCTGTTGTAAGGCTCCACTGTAACTTAAATGTCCACCACGGCTAGTGGAAGGGTGTACTCTCATCCAGGCTGGCAAGCCAGAACAAGGCTTCCTTTGTTGAAAGTACTTCTGATACAAGGGCGACACATTTAATGCCTCGCTTGAGCACCTCACACTCCTACTAAACATGCACACCACACAAACACACACCTACACATCTACTCACAACTACAATATAGTGCAAGTGTATTACACTTTTCCGTTACATTTTGATGGAAAGAAGGATCAATAGAATGAGATAGAAGATAAGAAACAACATCTGTAATCATACACAAACCAGCTAGCTTGTCGTAAGAGGGAGGAGAGCTGGCTGTCTGACCGTTTCTCAGAGGCATGGCCTAGGGACAACCTGACTCAGGCAAGAAAAGTGCTAGTAGGCCACAACAAGTACCCCTGCCCTCCAAAGGTCACAAGGAAAAACTGTCAAGACATGGAAAGCAACTGAAGTTTTAATCCATAATTTACCCAGTGAATGAGGATACACAAGGAATGGGTAGAAAATCTATCACCCATTGGCCATAATGAGTAATAATAATAATAAATAATAATAATTAATGATCATCATTAATGTGCAGTAGTACATTAATGAGTGGTAGTACAGTGAGGGTCCCCGTAGAACAGTCGAGTTCGTTCTCGACTCTCAATCGAGAATTCAGAGTTCGAATCCCAGGTGGGACAGAAATGGTTGGGCACATTTCCTATCACCTAATGCCCATGTTCATCTACAAGTAAGCAGGTATCCAGGAGTTAGTCAGCTTGTTGTGGGGTTGCATCCTAGGGAAGAGAAAATTGCTGAAGCAGAGCTGCTGAAGATGCTGAACCAGCATCTTGGTTTAAGGTGAAAATATTAGGGTGGAAGTGATACTCGTGCTAACAATAATGTGCGTCAAGCTCAAAGAGATCGGTAATAATATTGTGGTATAAATATACTACTATTAGCAAATGTGGTTTCTTGCTTTGCAGAGTTCATATTGGATTGGGAGACAGAGAGAGAATCTGCATCACAGTGTAATCCACCCTATTGCACAAGATGCTAGTCTCTTTGAAGAGGAGCCACAGGGAAAACGTGCTGGAGTGCAAGTTGAAGGTCTTACCAAGGTGAGAAATAAATGTTCATTATTTCCTTCTCGGATGTTATGCGTCCCCACAATTGCACCAGAGGTGGGTACCCCTCTACAATAGTACAGTAGTTTATTTACATCAATAACTGATCAGAAATACAGGGTGTAGTTCAGAAGAGCAACTGGACTCTTATCATAAAAATTTTGCTTGGAACATAAGAGAACAGAGTACTAGTAATATGGTAATATAACATCAATGGGGCCAACACTAAAAGTGAACATAAGTTGCTTATGTTCAAATATGTACTTTTAGCTAAATAAAATTTGTATGTTTATATTATTTATCAGGAAATGGTAAATGATTTACTGGTCAAATAATTGTGTATTAATTTCTCTCCTGTTGCAGGTGTTTCCACGAGGTCATAAGGTTGCTGTAAACAACATGTTTTTGAATATGTATGACGGCCAGATAACAGTACTCCTGGGCCATAATGGTGCTGGCAAGACAACAACGATGTCCATGTTAACAGGTCAGCTTTGAATTCTGCTTGACCTTATAGTAAGTTATAATATTGTAATACACTAATAATAATAATAATAACAATAATAATAATAATAATAATTTATAAAGAATCAATGATGACAGTAAGGATTTTAAGTGTAGATAATTTTATTTATTATAATAGAACTAATAACTTGCAACATTTGGGCATTGCAGTCCTTTGGTATATCATTGCTCTATTTTGGATTGTGTACTTTACATCCCAGTCAGCCACACAGTTAGATAGATAGATAGCTATATCCTTAATATTTGTAGGTTCATGACACATTAATACTGTAATGAAAAGTGCATAAAGCATGCTGAGAAGAATGCTCTATATACTGCATTCATAATTGATTCCTAGGCAGGACAGAAATGGTTTGAATATGGTTCCAGTTGGATATAACACGTTTTCCTCGAACCTGATGTTGTCGAGATCCCAACCACAACATTCTTAAAGATGGTATCTCTCACTTTCATCCCATTTCCACCGAGTAGACCCTCAACGATGTGGCCTTCCATTGATTCTGTATTATGTTCCCATGTAAGGCCAGTAGACTTGTTTGTACCCAACCTCTGTACCATAGACTAGTGAAGAGGGGTCACTAAAAACAGTCCAGAGGTAATATTAGGTCTTTACCAATTATGCTGAACAATAACACTTGCAGCTCTCTCAGGGTACACTTGATAACAACTTTAAAATCATATTCTCTAGTACTCACTGTATGGGAAAATATGCACATGTTCATTTATATAATATTAATAATAAATTATGATAATTAAATCATTACAACACCTTTAATAACCAATCACTTGGTTGGCTGCCTTGAAATCATGACTCGCACACACACTTGCACACTCAAAATCAATCAATCAATCAATCACTCACTCGCTCACTGGCCAGAACAAACTCTGTCCCTCTCTCTCTCTCTCTCTCTCTCGTAGTTAGTTCATTTGACATTGTACCAAACATACAACACAACCTTTGTAATATTTTATACTCTGATGTTCATACACACACGCACACACATTGAATACAATGTTTTAAAAGTGACAAAATATACTTGGTCACTTAAATATGATGACATTAATGACATTATATTCATGAATGACCATAATTATAGAATTTATTTACGAAGTTAGTACACTGTATATATATAAATAATACTGTATCTTGTCATAACTGGGTCATAACATTATGCAAGATGTTAAATTGCCCCAAGCTGGACCTCTGTGCACTGATGTGGAACCGATGGCTCCTGCCCTACGTGGCTCTGTTCCCTAATAGTAAGGCACCTGCTCTGTGTGCCTGTCTTTCAGCTGGTCAGATAAAGATAGGGGATTAATTTATATCTTCTCTCCAGTTCAGCTCTTTCTTCAGGTTTTATCCAGAATGGAGATTTGTATGGGCCAAGCTAAAATAATAATAATTTATTATATTACAAATTATTATAATTTATTAATATAATTATAATAATTTATAATTCATTGCATGGTTATCTTCTTGCTCCTTGGGGATTGGCTTGGCCTTAGTTTCTGGCTCTTGTTGCCTGGTGTCCAAACTGGGCTTTTTTCCGTGGCTCTGGCTCTCGTCATATCAGTCTGGAGATGTTCCTCAATGGTTTGACATTCTCCAATCTTTGCATCTGGAGATTTTAATACAGGTCTATCACCATTTCCATGGTGGGCAAGTGGCTGAGCTGTTAGTCTCTTAATCTTGGTATTCGTTTTAGTCTTTTTACCTATCTCCATTGCTTGTTGTCTCTTAGTTTTGCTAGTTTTGACCTTTATGCCTTGGGTGTTTCCAGATCACTATCTTAAAGTGATCAAGTCTGGCCCCGGGCCGGGCTTGGGAAGTAGAAGAACTCCCAGAACCCCATCAACCAGGTATCAGGTTATGCCTAATACTGTTGCCTCCTATTGCTTGGCTTTGGCAGACCTGTTGATGCCTTTCATCACTGTTAATAATTCATCGGCACCATTTTGTAAATTGTTTCGTGTTTTCTTTCGCCTCCAGCTTTCTTAATCAACTCTCAGGTGGTCTTGGTCCATGATGCCTTTTTCAAGGCTCTATTGTTATTGGTCTTCACTTCTGACTGTCAGGTTGGGGGATCCTCATTCTCTTCTCTGGAAGTGGGAGTTTTGTTGCTTTAGTTCTGGTGGACTGTATCTTCATTTGCAGTCTTTTCCTTTTCTGTCAAAGAATGTGATGGCTTCTGGATCGGTCCTTTGGTTATTGATTCATAGTTTGTTCAGCCAGGGGTGTATCATTTTTTGTATCCAGTTGCAACTATTGGTTGCTACCTGCACTAAAATGTATCGGGAGATTTTTGTTTTGTGAATCCTGTTTCCTTGATTCTGTGTTCCAAGACTTGTTTATCAGATGTTGGCAGTGTCATTAAGTCGAGCCAAACTGTTGTTCTACCCTCGGACCCATGATGTTCATAAATTTACTGCACTGACCATGGTGTTTTCCAACATATCTTTGACTGATAGTCAGGCTTCGGGGTTTGAGAGGTCTAACAAGGTTCTGATGGCTCAATACCTGGTCAGTGTTCTTAGTCCCCATTGGGTTTGTGTTGATTTGGGTTGGGTTTCCCATCTTACTCTCCTCTTCAAAGGTGTATCACTTATCTTCCTGGTAAGTAACTGTTCTCTTCTGTGGTTAGCTAGCTATAGGGTGCTACCATTCATTTTTCCAGAAAACCAGCATTGAATATAATGAAATGTCCCTTGCTGATTGAATCATGATGGCTCCCTGGTCCTTCTACCCCTAGAGGCATGTCAATTTGTTGCCCTGGATTCTGGAACGAGGAATGTTGACATGCAAATCTAGCAGAACTGGTGGTGCTGCTACCTGTCACTGGTTAGGTGTAACCAAGTTGGTTCGGCCTGACTACTGGGTGGACTGTTTGCGGAATCGTTTGATACTTTCGTTTCTTTCCTCTGTAGACCTTGCAGCTGTCCATTTTGCTTTGCTTCCTTTCTGGATGTTTCCTTTTGTGAGGGTGACATCAGTCTCCTTCTCCCTGCACTTCTGTGAGGGAAGGGGGCCAGGTTCTGGCTCTGGTCTCTGGTGCTATTACTGACCCTTAGGAGTGATGTGACTTGCATGTGGAGCTATCTCGGTACAGCTAGCTACCGAGGTGCAACTAGAAAGAGGTATTTCATTGCACTCGTAGCTAGTTTTATGATTGGTCACTTTCTAAGTCTTGACAAAAGTGAGTTACCAAACATTGTACCTCTTAAGTGTTAAAAGTGGTCATTATAAATCCTGGAAATGTAACTATTATCCTACAAAGAAATATAAAAGGAGGTTAACAGAAAAATATTGACAAATGCTTTCCATTCAACTTTCAATGTTGTCTCCTTTTACCATATAGACAGGTCTGGAGAGACTAACAAGACTAATTATACATTATTTTCAACAGGCCTTTACCCTCCAACATCGGGCACAGCACGTGTGGGAGGCTATGACATAGTGTCAGAGATGGGGGCTGTGCGACATTCTTTGGGCTTGTGTCCACAGCATGATGTATTGTTTGATGAGCTTACAGTTGTTGAACACATTAAATTCTTTAGTAAGGTAGGTGATTGATTATTTTGTAGATTGAATTAGAGTGCAGTATTTGTAGATAAGTAACATTTGTTCTATTGAGTGCCCTTCATCAATTTGTAATTGAGAATAAAGTACTGTATGATATCTAATTTTCTCTACAGTATACAATGTTCATAATATTATTAAATAAATTATAGTGATATTTAATTAATGGACAGAAGATTTGGATTTGTATACATTTGATGGCTATTTAATTGCAATATTGTTTAAGAAACACATGCTAAAAATAGATGCATCTTATAAGAGTTCCTTTAAAACAAAAATTTGTGTTCATGGCTTCTGTTTGTATGCATGTTTGAGACTATAATATTATTAGACATCTTGTGTCCAGTACAAATGCAAAACAGTGAAAATTGTGACCGTTTTAAATACAGAAGAATCTTATTTGAATATGCTTATAGTGATGGCCCACATGCTCATAATGCCTGGAGAATCTGAGAAAAATAATCCACATAACTGTAAACCCATTCTATCTGTATTTTGTATTATCATAGACTTGATCTATTTTTCTATTTATTTTAAACTTTAGAGAATTACCAACTATTTTATGATAACATAAAGTAATTAGGAAAAAGAGTTCCCAACTTTGTTATGTACATAACTTTTTATTTTCTCTTCCTTAACTTATTACCCTCCCCCCCCTTCCCAAGACTAGTACTTCTTTAATTGAACAATGCTTTCTCTGAGAAATAATGTATAGTATATTTTAATATATTTAGTATTACAGTAAAGTATATAGCAGTGTATAGCAGTGTAGAATGTTACCTTAACTCTCATGATTGTGCCCACTGGTGCCTCTAGTAATCTTACATTAGGGAATATCAGAGTATCTTGCTCAAATATGAGCTTTTCATACACTCAAGTGGATTGAATAACTAACCAATTTCAAGGTATGGCCAACCACCAGAGCTCCACCAAACCAACCAATCAAGCATATTTACTCAGCTCTTTTTAGGATTCATTATGCCAATGTTTCCTAGTCATTGTTTTCCAATTGATACAACATATTTAGACTAGTAACCAATGTATTTTTAACCAAGAAAGCTATTGTATGTTAAATGTGTGTAAGTTATTGATGTGATATACAATCTGAGGGTCTTGTCCACAGTTGAAGGGACTGTCTAGTGATAAAGTGAATGCAGAAGTGAACAACATGGTAGAGAAGCTTAAGCTGCAAGACAAGAGACATGCCATGGTGAGGTTATAGCTAGATTTATTCCATGTTTTTGGCTGTGTTTGAAAAATCTAAAACTTCTCCAGAAGAATCCACTTACTATACTTTGTTTATACCGTAGTTAAATCAAAGTTGAAGAAGTGGCTATATTGTATGTTAAGGATTCTTATATATTAATAAGATTTTAAGTTTTACTTTTTTTCTGTAAATCCCTAGTAGCTACATTAGCTTATGTATCCAACATATTAGACATACTGGATATGATGGGCACCTGCGCCCTTAACAGAACTCCAGAATATTTATTCTCGTCAGGCAAAAACCCTGTCTGGAGGAATGAAGCGAAAACTTTCTGTTGGTATTGCTCTCTGTGGTGGGAGTCGTGTTGTCTTCTTGGACGAGCCCACATCTGGCATGGATCCAGGAGCACGGCGACTTATCTGGGATTTACTTCAAGAAGAAAGATCTGGACGTACCATTCTTCTCACGACGCACTTTATGGAAGAGGCTGATCTTCTCGGAGATAGAATTGCCATCATGGCAAATGGTGTTGTTCAGTGTTGTGGCTCTTCATTGTTTTTAAAGAGGCATTATGGTTAGAAAATTATTGTTTTAATCGCCTGTTATAGCTCTTTGTAAAACATGAAGCATATAATGTTGTGCTAGTATCTATCAGTGTTGCTGTCCCTTTGTTTATTTTAAACAATGACAACTTTATTCTTACAGGTGCTGGGTATCGTCTGATTATAGTAAAAGAAAAGGGATGTGATGTGAGCGCCATAACTGATGTGTTACAAGCTCACATTTCTGATGCTGAACTGGATCAGAATAATGGAGCAGAACTGTCCTATGTGCTTCCTAATGCTGACGTGGCAAAGTTTGAAGCTTTATTCCTTGAACTTGAAAAACAGAAAAAACACCTAATGATTTCCAGCTATGGTGCATCTCAGACCACTATGGATGAAGTCTTTCTGAGGTTGGTGTAAAGTTCTCTTCATGGCAGTTTTATTATAAAATAAACAATGGATAGTTTTAGAACACAGAACTTGACTAAAAGAATAACAATTGATTGGTGGTATACAATATTACTAATGTGTATATGTGCAACCTGCATTTTTATGTTTGTCACTTAGAGTTGGTAAGGCAATTGATCCAGACATCATTGGTCATCTCCACAAAGCTGTTACTCCAGCACCAAACGGCAAGAGTAAAACTAACGGCAAACTCAACAGCGTGGATAGAGAGAATGGACTATTACTTGACATTGAACAAGGTGACGCACTGCCTGAAGTGGCAGATGTGCAGCAGAATCAAGGTACAGTACTGTATATATAATTAGTTTATTTTAAATCAGGATTTAATGGAACTTATCAGTACTGTATTTTCTGTTTATATTTGTTACAGTACTTAAATGTTAATTAATGTTATGCACTTTGATGCAGTTTTAGTGATGTATATATAAGGTATCACTAGATATTCTATATAATAAGCTAATGGAAGTATTAATTGATTTAAAAAGTATAGATAGGAATTTTTTTTTTAACAATCACTATCTCCGCTAAAATAAAGTTTCTCGAGTTAATTTAAATTTTATACGCAAATGATCTTTGTGATTATAAGTGTCATTTTCTTGTTTGGAAGTTGAGTCTAGGTTGGACAGAGGTGCTACAGCAAGCTTTGTTACACACTGAGAAATGGTTTGCATGTTGTTCACTTTTCAGACACAGCTGTTGAACAATGTTATATTACAAAGTTGACATTAAGTAGTCCACTTTGCATGCCATTGGTTCAGTTGTCTGGGACCTAGCCAACCAAAATCTAGTAGTCACAGATAATGAGATTAAATTTAAACTTTTGTTTGGGTGATAATACTGACATTGGAAGAAATAAACAAGCAGTGAATTTATTTTTTCATGATACTTTCCTCCAATTTTTGTAGGATAATATTTCCTAGATGTTAAAGGTTAGCTTCCCCAGAGCCTTGACACGGGAGCGACTAGTTTGTAACATTGGGCAGTGACTAGCTCCAAGCTTATGATGAGAAACTCTCCCCACCATCCTTAATGGCTGATGGATCAAACTTGGGCCACTTGGGTTTGGAGCCAAGATCATTACCATCTAAGCAGATCTGTTTGCAAAACAAAAATATCACTTTCAGTATTTTATTATTTATCAAAATTATGGTTAACTGCTTCCCAGATAATTGAACCTTTAATCACATACAATTTTACCATTTATTTATGTAATGGAAAGAACACATTATTTTTGTATTTCAGTATATGCCACTAACCATCTTGGTAAGTTGGATGTATGTCATATAATTTAATAACTGTTGATACATACCTCACAGGGAGAGTGACAGCCACTTGGTTTAATGCAGCCATTCAACGTGTCACACTTGTCATTGAAAATGGTAACGGTCAGAAACCTGGTACTTAGAATTAGTCTTGGCTAAATGGATCCTTGCTTTACTCTTTCTTGCCTTCCTCCTTCAAGAATATAATTGTAAGGATTGGAATTTGGTAAATGATCAGTTGTCATTTGATCATATTAATTTGTATAAGTTTTTAATAAAGGATAAATGGTTTTTAAAGATTACATTTACCCATACAGATATTAGATCTATATTCAAAAAATAAGAATTTTAAAGCATACAGGTTAAAAGCCAAAAGTCCAAGAATTATTTGGTTTTCCTTCTTACATTTAGCGTAATAAATGATGCACATGCTATATTATTTTACTAAATAAATCTAATTTTGACTGATATAAATTGAAACCTTCCTTTTTCATACTTGAACCAATGTATATAGTAGGCCTTTAAATGTTACTAGATAATAATATTATGAAGGTGGTGGCCTAAGCTGTCAATATTTTACAGATTGATAGTTTTATATAACTGTTCATGTCTTGACTCCTATTTATTCTGTTAATCTGTCAATGAGTCCTCCAATTTGTGCGCAGTCGAGCTGATGTATAAAGCCTCTTGATGCATCTACGATCCTTAACTTCACTTCCATTTTTCTTGGGTGACTTAAATGCACGAGTCTTACAAAGCATTTATGCGTATCTTCAACTTTGCATTGTCTTTTCATACTGAATACATTGTCTTTGATGTACTGGTACTACTGTATACAGCATCTACTTTTTATACTTAAAAGTTGCTCGGTCAGAATAACTTTAGATGTTTCTTATAATAAATAAATAAATGTCTTACAAGGTACATCAAACTGCACTCACTGCTTCAGTCATTTTCTTGAGATTGTTACCACTTTTTCTTGCAACGGTTGATTTACTCGTGTAAATCTTGATATAAAAGTTTTTGCTATTGTGTATTCAGTATGACCAAGCTTTATAAATAAGCTTTCATTCCTGAATTTACCCGAGGGCCACTGACACTAGTGGCCTCGTCAAAGACAGGAAGCTAGCTGCTGTTCGAAGGCCCCCCCCTCCCCCATTTGCCTTAATAACTTTTTGAGTTGGATTTTGAAATTCAACAGCCTTCAAGTAAGTTTATTGAGACAAGAAAAAATACATCTTAAAGGGATAGAGTAGTTTAGGCTATTTCTATCCCCTCTACTTAAGGGGGTCCCTTAAGGGGTTATCATTCTTTTTGCATTTACCACTTCAGCAGGTAGGCAGTTCCATGGGTTTATAATCCTGTGGGTGAAAAAGCACCTGTTCAATCCTACAGTGTGGCTTGTCGAGCTTGAAACCATTGCTCTTTGTTTGTGTTACATCTGACCTTTTGAAAAAATTGTCCAGATCAACATCCTCTAAGTTGTTCAGTATTTTAAGTTTCAATGAGATCCACCCTGATCCATTCATACAACTATCTAATATCATTCATACTTATAATGTTTCCATTCTCTACGTCAACTGTTCTTGAGAGGAAGTTAAAAAGCCACAAAGACTAAGCAAGTGGTCAGAATATAAAAGTTGTGGTGAGGACATTTTGAAGAAATCAGGCTTTTGAGTGCATATTAAAAGCTCCTTTCTGAACAGAACTTTTGGTTGCTGCTTTAGGCAAAATCCTGCTGGTTGTCTAGACAGCATCACACGGGGCAGGTCGGTTCTCTGAACCAATGCCGCAACGATCTTTTCAAACATTCCTGTCGGGTCATATTGCTACAAAGGAGACATTGGAGAATTCTCAATTTAGACCAGTCAGACGAACAAGCAATTAGCTAGAGCACTTCTTGGTGCTTCCTGTGGTTCCAAGAAGATCTTGGATATGCTTTGAACCAATTTGAGTGAGCCTTCTATAGGTCATTGTGGACTAGATAAAATATTAACCACTATCTACCTTTCACTAGTCTGGCTTGTAGAGATGTTTAAAAAGCTCCTTGCTGCACCAATGCCATGAGTTGGCCTCTTCTGACTGTGTACGATGCTATCAGGGACCAACATTATCTTTTATACCTCCAGCAATATAAGAGCCAAAGTTGAATTGGAAACATGGCTAAAAGATTAAGTGTTATGTGGAACTCTAATGTTTTGGTTGCTATATTTTCTTTCCCAATCTGCTATCTAGAGTTGTATAACAGTGAGCATGCTAGTACAGTATTGACACTAACTAGCAAAAAAATAAAATAATGTAGAGGAGAGCTTCATATTACCAGCTCGGTTTTCCTTCCCAGGTAGGCCGACAGGTAGCTTAAACAACCATAAATATTTGTATCCTTACTTGGAGGGTCCCCCCTCAATAGCTCCCAGAGCATATTTCTGGTACTACCAATCCTTAGCCTAACACATCAGGCCTCTGAAAACCATCCAACGCCTACCCCAAAGTTTGGTGGCATGCTCTGTCTCAATGATTCGCATCTCTTCACCGATCTTCATGTATGGAGTTTCTTGACTTTGTGTTCTGTCAACTATGTCATACTTGAATGGTGGGTTTCTTTGTGCTTTATTGTCATCTTTCTTTGTAGTGGTCTTCCACCACTTCCTCTCTTCAGCATCTATCGTTTTTGTCAATGTCCTTTGAAGTTAGTATTGTCTTTTCTGTCCTGGTTATACTGTAGTCACCAGCTGCTGCACATACTTATTGTACTGTCACCTTGTCTTGCTGAGCCATGGCAGAGCTAATCTTAGTGCCATTTGGGTATGAGGGATTCTTATTTTTTTTCTCCAGTTGTCTCTTGCAATTTTTGACTTTGGCTGGAGTCAGTTATGTGCTCTGGGTTGTGGCTACAGCTCTAGTTTTGCATGCACCTTGTGCTGTCAGAGTTCAGGCTCTATTTGTTGCCCGTTTCTCATGTGCTCTGTTCCAAGATCTGCCTTCCCCAGATCTTTAGTGTGGTGGTTTGGTCCAACCAGCAAGCTGTTTGTCCCCCAATCTGGGGATGTGTGGTGATATTTGCTCCTTTGACATCTTTACAGTTGTCACAACTGACATTCGGGCTCAAGGCATCTCATTCCTTGTTGGATTGCTGGGTTCATTCAAGGAACAAGGATTGCTTTGTTGCATTCCCGGGTTCATTTCCCAGATGGGACAGAATGGTTGGGACATTTTCTTTTACCTCTTGCAACTGTTCACCTAGCAGTAAATAGTTACCCAGGAGTTAAACAACTGTTGTAGGATTGTATTCTTGGTAAGATCTGTATTTCAACATTGGAGGGACCTTGATACAAGCCTAAAATATATATACAGAGGAACCTTGAGTGATAAACAGCCCCATCTACGAACATTTAAAATAATGAGCGAACCACTCGCAGAAAATTTGTCTCGATTGATGAGCTTCCACGCGATTAACAAGAAAACCATATGCTTCCTGTCGTTCCCACTAGTTCTCGCCAATTTTTTAATGCCTCCGAAGATGCAAATCGGTGAATTTTTTTTTAAAGATGCTAATGATGCTGGGATGTAAAGGGGGTGACCGCTGTAATGTTGCAAAGCAGTGATTTTTCAAATTTAAAAAAAAAAAAAGTTTGTTCAGTGTATGTCAGGAAGGATGCTCCATTTTTTATGAAGAGATAAAAAAAATGAATATCAAATTGATGTTTTTCAGTGGTGGAGCAGATTAATTTTATTTCCATTATTTTAAATGGGGGAAATTCGTTTTGAAAGACTAGCGATTCAACAAAAGAACAAATCCACAAGGGCCGTGATGAGGATTCGAACCTGCGTCCGGGAGCATCCTAGACACTGCGTTCTAACTAGAATAACTAGCGATTCACATGACGAGCTCGGTGCCAGAAGGGATTAAATTCGTTAATTGAGGCTCCTCTTTATACACAGGCTTCCTATCCCCAGCAAAATTATTATAATAGTTTTATTAATTGAATTACTGTACCTTTAATAAATCATAAGATTGTGTCAAATCTGTAACACCTTGTGTTGGTTATATAGAAAGTGCCCTATTTTAACATTTTCCTGTGAAATCAGTTTTACTTCCCCATCATTCTTCCAGAAACTTTATTTCAAATCTTTATACCTCAAACAGTATCGCATGCTTAGACCTTATATACAGTATTACTATTTAAAACTTTCCAACATTAAGTGTTGATTTGAAAACTCTGTATGCAAAAATATTAATTTGCTTAGCACAATCTAGAAAATGACTGTCGTTTGGCTAATTTAGTGAACAGATTGAATTGATGTACTTGCTGCAAATTTAGTTCTATACAGTACTGTATTAAAAATATACAGTACAGTATTTGAAAGAAATGATGTTGAAGCATATTAGTTTAAATTTATATGCTTGAAACTAAATTAGCCATAAGCTAAACAGCCATTAGAATGGATTATCACATCTGAATGCTTTACCTTCACTTACTGTATGTTGAATGTTAGCAATTACACTTTATCTGACGTGTTTAAATATGCACAGTTGTCTGAATGAGCTGTAATGCTGCTTTTGTGCTTGCATAAGAACCCACATGCATGCTTCATAACAACGCACGTGCATGCTTCATAACGACCCACATGCATGCTTCATAAATACTTTAACGGTAAATACTGGTAAGTTTTAACTTCTTACACACTTGGTTTATTATTTTATTCATTATTTCTCAGGGTTTCATAAGTTTCATAAAATGTTTATTATAATCTAACATTTTAGATAAACATATGAAAATGAATAGAATGAAATAGTGACAAAATCACAAGTAATTAAATAATTAACTAGTTATATTGAAGAGGGATTATACAAATACAGTAATCTATTAAATACAGTATACATATAAACTTTACATAAACGCACAAATTTATTAACTGACATTTACAAACTATGTTAAAGAGGCATAAGTATTACTATAAACATAATCATAACTAGAGTATTCAATATACTGTACTATAAAATTGAGCCGATTCATCGGTAGCAAATTAAATTTTGGTATTGCCATATCTTTTTATTGATATAATTGAATCTTGTGCAATAGCCAAAGATGTGGCCTCCAACCACCTGCAATCGTCTACGCCACGCCGAGTACCATTGCAGAGAAATACTGGTTGTTTTCTTCTCCTGCAGCAGTTCAGGGCAATGCTGGTCAAGAAGATTTTATACACATTTAGAAACCTCTTTCTCACCTTAGCACAGGTATGAATATTTTCCAACAAAATGTTGTCAGATGAAAATATATGCTTAATAACTGTATCGTACTTTACATATTGTACACTTGAAAAACAATCAATTGACTGGTTTTAACCGTAATGATTGACTCTGGTTTTAACCGTAATGATTGACTCTGGTTTTAACCGTAATGATTGACTCTGGTTTTAACCGTAATGATTGACTCGGGTTTTAACCGTAATGATTGACTCTGGTTTTAACCGTAATGATTGACTCTGGTTTTAACCGTAATGATTGACTCTGGTTTTAACCGTAATGATTGACTCGGGTTTTAACCGTAATGATTGACTCGGGTTTTAACCGTAATGATTGACTCGGGTTTTAACCGTAATGATTGACTCGGGTTTTAACCGTAATGATTGACTCTGGTTTTAACCGTAATGATTGACTCTGGTTTTAACCGTAATGATTGACTCGGGTTTTAACCGTAATGATTGACTCTGGTTTTAACCGTAATGATTGACTCGGGTTTTAACCGTAATGATTGACTCTGGTTTTAACCGTAATGATTGACTCGGGTTTTAACCGTAATGATTGACTCGGGTTTTAACCAAAATGATGGTTGAAACCTGACTTGTATATGTAGCACCTAGCCTCGACTTGTATGTGTGTTCGATCCTTGTGGCAACAGCTGGGAGTGCACTTGAGCTGTGTTGAGTCTTTCTTGTTTGTGGTTTGTATTCCTTACATCATGGCCTAATTAATGGGGTTTGGGATTTGATATCCAACAATGCTTCAACTGCACTTGGCATGTCCAGCTGTTTATGGCCCAGTCAGATGTTGTGCATCCAGAAGGTCATTTCATCTTGATCATTTCATTCATTTCAATTATTTCATTCATCTCATCTCCAATGAATGAATAATGATGAATCATCCATCCAATTTAAATCTTGACTCTGATACTTGCAACTTTTCAGGATGCATTTTGGTACTTATTGGGCACTGTTAGTCATTTTTACTGCTTCTGTCACTTTGCTTATTGGGTTCACTTGTTCTTTCACCCTTGGATGTGCAGTATTTGGCATTGCAGGACCTGTAATTACCTAAGTGTAGTTTACAGGATGAGAACTACGATCATAGTGTCCCGTCTTCCCAGCATTCTTTGTCATATAACGCTTTGAGACTACTGATAGTTTTGGCCTCCACCACCTTCTTGCCTAACTTGTTGCAACCGTCTACCACTCTGTTTACAAAAGTGAATTTTCTTATATTTCCTTGGCAGCTTGGTTTAGTTAGTTTAAATCTATGACCTCTGGTTCATGAAGTTCCAGGTCTGTTCTCTGGCCAGACAGCCCTCATGGCTCACAGCCTTTTAATCTGCAGCTACTTGCCTGTTTTTTTATAATGCTGCAGACCCGATGTTGACCCAAGTTCGGTGGCTGACAAGATGCCCTCTTTTTTGCCCTTTCATGGTAGGCCCCAGTGATACCATAGTGTAGGGACACAGCTTAGATCTTGGATTGTTGCCTAGTTTCACAGAATCTTTGGGGACAGGTTCCTCGGTTCCTTATCGAGTGTCTTGGGCACCTGCTCAACCATCTACACAATATCATTCATGACGTGTTGGACAAGGGTGTTATTGCTGCAGCACACTCCCTTCAGGTGGTGTCCTGGAGCTTTCTTGTGCCAAAGAACAACTCCACAGAGCCTTCAATTAATCAATCAAATATAGGACAAAATACCCGTCGGGTGAGGTGGGGAAGTGGGTTTAGTTGAAGAATAGCCGGTTAGAGAAAACGTCAAAGTCAGAGAGAAAGAACCAGGGGCTAAATCCAGCTGCATGGTGTTAACCGAGTCTCTCATCAACAGGTCCGGCTAGGTGGGGAGACCGTGTCTCATGTTAGGGGCAACAAAGCGAGGACAGCTGTCCTCTTGAGTGGTGGAGTCGGCTGTCCTTGCTTCACTTTCCCTTGGTCTTATTTATATTGCACATGTACATTACCATTTTCTATGCAGCCTGTTTAAAATACAGTAATTATTACTATTTTAAATTTGATATTAATGCTGTTAATCACATGATGGTTACTTTTAGCAAATAATGCAATCTCTGATGGAAACATTATTGAATGCATTCACAGATGTGTTACCTTTTCCTTAAGTCAACTGAATAATCATAATATTAGATTTAAAGTTTTCATCACTACATTTTTCTCATATTTTCATTCATATACAGTACTTTGTAGTTGAAAATTTTGCTTTCCTTCTTTTTCAGAATGTCATCCCAGTTTCATTCTTAATTCTGGCTCTGGTTGTTGTTCAGACTCTGCCTGGAGTTAATGATTCACCACCACAAGTTCACTTTACTCTGGATGTGAGTCTTGAGATTATTGCATTGATAAATTATAATATTAGAATGACATAATTTCCAGTAAACGTTGTGTGAGAAAAGCCCAATAAATTTGTAGAAGTACAGTACTTGAGTATTAAAAGTATCTAATTTAGTTGAACTTCTGCAATTCACTTTTAATTTTGCTTAATTACATATTTTAGAAATTTGATGGCACAGTCTCCACCCTTCAAGTACTTCAATCAAACAATTACACGGAGGATCTAGAAAAAGCCATCGAGCCGAGTTTTTCTGAACGTAACAAGAAAGTTGTAATTCAACCAGATACCAATTTCTCAACATTCATCCTAAATCAGGTAGGTTTTATTGATGGTCTTATTAACTAATCCTTAAATTGGTTGCATCACCCATAAGCAATAGAAGTCTAAAGAGTCTATGCTGATGTCATTTAACACTGAAGACCTTTGGGAATCATTTACCCCATTAGTAAAAATAATGCACCATGTCTGGTGTTTGACCATCCTTCAACATAATGGGCTGAGTGACCACACAAGGCACCATTGATTCCATGCAAAATTGCAGGGACTTTGAAGGACTGGAAAGATCTTGGTGATAAGGAGAAATATATATTACAAGAAGTTAACAAATATTACCCCCTTCAGAACATGAAATAAACTGCTCTGACAACAAGGGAAGAGTGAGTGAGTGAGTGGGTGAGTGAGTGAGTGAGTGAGTGAGTGGGTGGGTGGGTGATTGAGGCAATGCTCATGTTGGGTAAGCTTCTAATTACAAACTGGTGAATGTTTATTTATTGCAGCAATAATTTACCTCATTTACCTTAAATTTACCTTTACCTACCTTTACCTTCCATTTCTGATAAAAATGTGGTGATAGCATAAGAACATGGCAATAAAGGACCCTACAGAAGGCTTATTGGTTCATGCTTTGAAACTTCAGTTTATACCCAACATAAGAATTTTAGTTTATGCAAGTATTGTACATAATTATACAAGCTTGGGTAATTTTTGCTTTTTTTTTTTTTGCCTGAAGATTAATGTTAAGGCATCAAGTAAGTTGTGTGTAAGGCATCAAGTGAACTTTCCTTTGTTAGTGGAAGCTTCATGTAAAACCTTTCCCCTCCTCTGGTATTTCTCATGTTTTAAGTTGTAAAAACTTTGAAGGAGCACTTAAAACATTTATTTAAGAATTACTCTTGTATTATTATGCATTTTTGAGTGTCTAAAACTCGTTTCTTTCTCTTCCATTAGACAAGTAGTGACCTTCCATCTTTTAACCAGCATTGGATAGTTGGTCTACAGATTGAAGGTGTTAAAGATGGAGCCAACATCTTGGCTATTTTTACCTTTTCCTTAAGTCAACTGAATAATCATAATATTAGATTTAAAGTTTTCATCAGTACATTTTTCTCATATTTTCATTCATATACAGTACTTTGTAGTTGAAAATTTTGCTTTCCTTCTTTTTCAGAATGTCATCCCAGTTTCATTCTTAATTCTGGCTCTGGTTGTTGTTCAGACTCTGCCTGGAGTTAATGATTCACCACCACAAGTTCACTTTACTCTGGATGTGAGTCTTGAGATTATTGCATTGATAAATTATAATATTAGAATGACATAATTTCCAGTAAACGTTGTGTGAGAAAAGCCCAATAAATTTGTAGAAGTACAGTACTTGAGTATTAAAAGTATCTAATTTAGTTGAACTTCTGCAATTCACTTTTAATTTTGCTTAATTACATATTTTAGAAATTTGATGGCACAGTCTCCACCCTTCAAGTACTTCAATCAAACAATTACACGGAGGATCTAGAAAAAGCCATCGAGCCGAGTTTTTCTGAACGTAACAAGAAAGTTGTAATTCAACCAGATACCAATTTCTCAACATTCATCCTAAATCAGGTAGGTTTTATTGATGGTCTTATTAACTAATCCTTAAATTGGTTGCATCACCCATAAGCAATAGAAGTCTAAAGAGTCTATGCTGATGTCATTTAACACTGAAGACCTTTGGGAATCATTTACCCCATTAGTAAAAATAATGCACCATGTCTGGTGTTTGACCATCCTTCAACATAATGGGCTGAGTGACCACACAAGGCACCATTGATTCCATGCAAAATTGCAGGGACTTTGAAGGACTGGAAAGATCTTGGTGATAAGGAGAAATATATATTACAAGAAGTTAACAAATATTACCCCCTTCAGAACATGAAATAAACTGCTCTGACAACAAGGGAAGAGTGAGTGAGTGGGTGAGTGAGTGAGTGAGTGAGTGGGTGGGTGGGTGATTGAGGCAATGCTCATGTTGGGTAAGCTTCTAATTACAAACTGGTGAATGTTTATTTATTGCAGCAATAATTTACCTCATTTACCTTAAATTTACCTTTACCTACCTTTACCTTCCATTTCTGATAAAAATGTGGTGATAGCATAAGAACATGGCAATAAAGGACCCTACAGAAGGCTTATTGGTTCATGCTTTGAAACTTCAGTTTATACCCAACATAAGAATTTTAGTTTATGCAAGTATTGTACATAATTATACAAGCTTGGGTAATTTTTGCTTTTTTTTTTTTGCCTGAAGATTAATGTTAAGGCATCAAGTAAGTTGTGTGTAAGGCATCAAGTGAACTTTCCTTTGTTAGTGGAAGCTTCATGTAAAACCTTTCCCCTCCTCTGGTATTTCTCATGTTTTAAGTTGTAAAAACTTTGAAGGAGCACTTAAAACATTTATTTAAGAATTACTCTTGTATTATTATGCATTTTTGAGTGTCTAAAACTCGTTTCTTTCTCTTCCATTAGACAAGTAGTGACCTTCCATCTTTTAACCAGCATTGGATAGTTGGTCTACAGATTGAAGGTGTTAAAGATGGAGCCAACATCTTGGCTATTTTCAACAATCAACCCTTTCACACCCCACCATTGGCTCTGACCATTGCAGATCGTGCTGTGTTAAAAGCTATGACAGGGAAGAGAAATATTTCTGTCTCAACGGCTAATCATCCATTACCTAGAACTGACATAGAAAAGGTAATTATGCTTCGAATCCTTTTGACACTTTTGATATGGGGTTGTAAAACAGAAATTTTTGTAGATAATAACCAACATACACATGTTAAAGTTGTAGTCAAAAGTGTAATACCGTATAACATGCCCTTCACAGACAAGACAACGAACACATCGACTCAAATAAAAGCAATTTTCACCTTCACAAATCCTTACAAATAAAAAAAATTACATTTATTAAAAGCAGTTTGTCAATAAAATCTTTACCAGTGCTCTATTTTTTATTTGTTAATCTATACTGTATCTGTAAAAGTAGATTTCTGTTTGTCCAAAGTTAGAGGACAGATGCTTAGGGCTAACCTCACCCAACGTTGCAATGTGACTGGTGGGGATTGTCATAGGCAGGGTGGGGTCAGCCCCATTGCCCCCTTTAATGGGAGTAAAGTCCCATGGTGTCAGCTCCATGAAGTTGAAGATGAAAGGTGGCAACCACACACACACAGGCTTCCTGTCCTGATACAACAAATTATTAAAATAATTATACCTGTTAATTTTAAAATTTGGCTCTTGATCTCCTGCAGTTGTAGGGAAAAATTTGCATGTTTTCTGTTTTTCAGTCCAATTTTATATTTTGATTATCTCTTTTTTGGCAGTTAACACAAGACCAGCGGCAAAACTTGGGTTTTCAGATTGGCTTCAATTTGGCCTTTGGAATGTCCTTCTTAGCAGCTTCCTTTGTAATATTTATCATCCAAGAACATAGTAGTAAGTGACTATAGATTACTGTTTTCTTGTTTGAATCACAATATTAGAAACCGATATATAAATATACTGTATATATAATTATATTACAGTATATTATATTTATATATATATATATATATATATATATATATATATATATATATATATATATATATATATATATATATATATATATATATATATATATATATATATATATATATATATATACATATATATATATATATACATATATATATATATATATATATATATACATATATACATATATATATATATATATATATATATACATATATACATATATACATATATACATATATACATGTCGTACCTAGTAGCCAGAACTCACTTTTTGGCCTACTATTCAAGGCCCGATTTGCCTAATAAGCCAAGTTTTCCTGAATTAATATATTTTTTCTAATTTTTTTCTTATGAAATGATAAAGCTACCCATTTCATTATGTATAAGGTCAATTTTTTTTATTGGAGTTAAAATTAACGTAGATATATGACCGAACCTAACCAACCCTACCTAACCTAACCTAACCTATCTTTATAGGTTAGGTTTGGTTAGGTAGCCGAAAAAGTTAGGTTAGGTTAGGTAGGTTAGGTAGTCGAAAAACAATTAATTCATGAAAACTTGGCTTATTAGGCAAATCGGGCCTTGAATAGTAGGCCAAAAAGTGAGTTCTGGCTACTAGGTACGACATACATATATATATACATATACATATATATATATATATATATATATATATATATATATATATATATATATATATATATATATATATATATATATATATATATATATATATATATATATATATATATATATATATATATATATATATATATATATATATATATATATAATATATATATATAATATATATATATATATATATATATATATATATATATATATATATAATATATATATATATATATATATATATATATATATATATATATATATATATATATATATATATATATATATATATATATATATATATATATATATATATATATATATATATATATATATATATATATATATATATATATATATATATATATGTATGTCGTACCTAGTAGCCAGAACTCACTTCTCAGCCTACTATTCAAGGCCCGATTTGCCTAATAAGCCAAGTTTTCCTGAATTAATATATTTACTATAATTTTTTTCTTATGAAATGATAAAGCTACCCTTTTCACTATGTATGAGGATATATATATATATATATATATATATATATATATATATATATAATATAATATAATATAAATAAAAAAATTGTATCAATAAATTGTTCTATATTTCTGTGGTATGAAATAATTACATGCCAAATCTTTTCCATGTATTAAAATCAGGTTTTTAACCATATAATTACAGCTAAAGCCAAACATCTCCAGTTTGTATCTGGTGTGAATTTCATCACATATTGGACTGCCTTAGCTCTCTGGGATTTCATCCTGTTCATGATTCCTTGCTGTTTATGTCTTCTATGTCTGTCTGTGAGTATTATTTGGTCTACTCCTTTTGTTGAATGCACAATATAATCGGTAATTAAGCCGGTCCTTGCTTCACTGTCAAACATATAAACTCAAAAGAGTATTGCATTTTCAAAAGTTATATTGTCTCGTCCTGGCCCCTTTTCCTTCCACTGAATGTTAACCCATTATGTGTTCTTATTACAAACATGTTTAAGTTTAAAACAAAACATGATTGTGAATACTATCAGAATCTTGGTCACTAAATCCTGAGTATGAATCATTTTCCACAGATTTATATTCTAAAGAAACATGAGGTCCCATCTCATTTATGTATATATGCACCAAACCTCAGGTGTGTTGTGGATGTCTGCCTCGTGCTGTGAACATCATCACCAGTATTGGGTTCACTGTTATTTTAACCTTGTTTAGAGTTTTCATCACAATCAGGATCTTCTATAATGCTATCATTGTTAAATAATTGCAGTTAGTTATTTATTATTAAGTAATGCTGTGGGCAACTCATTGCATGGCAGTGTGGCGAGTTGCTGCTGCATGTGCTACTCGTGGTCGCTTCCTTGGTACTGACACCCCTCATACCCAGAAGGGTAGCCAGCAATTTTGTCTAAGATGTCATCTGTTTACTTAAGGCATAAGGAAGCAGATGTGTAAATCTTACCCGATGATTTAAAACTTCCCCAACAGTTTCGTGCAGTTTACAGATAATTAGCGAGATTGTCCCCCAGCCTTATTGTGCAGTGCAAGGGGTTAAACATTGTTACTCTCCATTTATGTTCTCTGGCACTTCTCCCTCTCCACTGTACTCTATAGCACACGAGTTACTATGCTATGAACTGCCTTATTCATAAAAGGTTCTCACTTGCTCATCATTTTTGGGGGGGGGTTATATTCTAAAAGTCTTGTGCAACATGTTCATATATAATTAATCTAGTGCCAGATACAGTTCTTATATATGTTGCTGCTTTTCTGGTATTACTTATTTTTTCTGTTTTCCTTTTATTCTATTAACCAATTAGTGATGAACAAACTTATAAAAAACTACAAGTACAATTGTATCTTTACTATCCACATACAGTGCAGTCACAATCTTGCTTTTCAAATATCCTTCTATGTAAACACTGTAATCAGACCCTCACATATTTTTATATAAGTACTGTATAGGCTACTGTATGTTTTATTCATTATTAATTTTTACTTGTATATTGTGTGTGTGTGTGTTTATTTTGATATAATATAATTATATTATACATATAACTACACTGTATACAGGGTAATTTGTTTTATCTTTTGTAGGTGTTTGGTCTAAAGGGGCTGAGTGAAGGAGAGCAGCTGGGAAGAATCATGCTGATATTCGTTCACTACGCTTGGGTGACGTTACCTCTGATGTACCTCTGCTCATTCTTCTTCAGTGTGCCTTCTGCTGGATTTACTAGAATGATTATCATTAATATAATTTCTGGTATGCATCACAATACTATTTGATATGTACAGTAAAACTTTTATATATAAGGTTTTGAGAGTACAGTATTAAATAAGTGCACCTATGAGGAGCATGATTGATCTCTTGGCCCACACCTAATGGTTATTGTACAGTACCTGGTGCATTTATACATCTCGGCAATCTAATACTCTCTCTCGTACTTGCTCTTTAAGCTGTGATTGGAGGTTAATTTCACAATCTCTGCTCACAGTCTTCTCCACTTTATGGTGCATTTATCCATACTGATGTTTCTTCTCACTATCATATTTAATATTAATTATTTTTATTATTATTAAGTTGTTTTGTTGAAACTATACTCCCTTAACCAGTCTAGTTCCTTTCCAGTTATTCCATATTGTGGAAGATGCCACTTACCCGGTTTTATTTTGTCTTGGTAACTGTTATTCTCTCTCTCTTAATTACAAAAGTTGTCCTCTCAAGATACTTCACAAGCTTTCCCTGGTCTGTAATTTATTCCTCCTGTCTGTCTCCTTTGTAACCAGTATTTCATTATGAAAACAAATTATTGGGTGACATAATATCCCTGATTTTTTTCATAAGCCATGCTAATTTTTGGTCTGCTCCAACTGCCTTGTTCATAGCTAATTCCATAAGGCTGGAATTAGCTCTTGATTTTACCTCATTATCTCTAGATATACTACTTGTTGTTCATTGAAGTTTCTTTCTATCTACCACCACCAATGGAGCAACAGGTCTTCTGCTTGATTTTATCTTATTGATTTCCCTGGAATCTCCTGTTGAGTTCTTGACAGACATAGTTGTTTTCTGTAAGAATATTCAACATTGTGTAAATGGAAAATGTCAACCTGCCATATCTGGATAAGGGGTACATTAGGATTTTGCCTTATAGAGAAACTGAATAGGATATCTCAAACTCATCATTTAAGTAATGGGGCAAATCAGTTTAATGGATTAGGCATATCAAAGGTGAAATCAGTTGACCCTGCATTGAATATTTATGTTTTTGAGAGTGCCAGTGATGTGCATATATTACAGTACAAGGAAACGCCCTCTCTTAAATATTTAGGCCATACAGTGGAATCGAATCCACATCCCATGTACAGGCTGTACCTTAGTTTAGGGACGCGGGTTTGATTCTATTGTATGGCCTCAATATTTATTCATAGATTAATCATATTCTTGTGATTTCATTGTGCACCCTCTCCTCCTCCTCTAGGAAATGTATATGTTTATCTCTCAGAATGTTTGGTAATATGTTTATTGTTTGTGATGTGTGTCTATGTATTAACACGATGTACTTAACGGGGTGAGAATAGCTTGAGCTACCTCATCCCTTTGTGTGTATTTTACCTCAATAAACTTATTTCAATTTCTCCTCCTCTAACTAAAACATTGTGTGTTGACAGGCATGGCTACAGTCATCACTGTGACCATCCTTCGCATACCAGATCTGGAGCTTGGTCATGTGGCAGATCTGCTGGACTGGATATTTCTCCTTTTCCCATCTTATGCTATGGCTGCTGCTATTACTGATGTATATAGTAATTATAGGTCTACAGAAATTTGTAGCCGTTCCACTGTTAGCTTGATATGCTCCTTGGGGATTGCTCCAAACCCCTGCTGCAGAGGTGAGTTGTTTTGGCTATTGTACTGTTTATTTTCTTCCTCTTGTGTGTGCATAGTTCATATACTTTTTAAAATTCAATTTACGTAATTGTGAAAGGAATACAATAAAGTTTTAAGAATAAATAATGGAGATAAAACTTTATTAGTAAAGTTATACATTCTCTTCTTAAATGCCTATAAATATTTATCACTTAAAAAAAACATTTTGTAGAGAATGTATAGAAGGGACACATTTTCCAGTATTTTGGAGAGGATAAATGATGCAAAAATACATAGTGTAAAAAAATGCCTTTTTTTATGGGCTTTCTGTCAGTAGCTCCACTGAGCCTCTTCTCAGCTTACACATTGATACATATCAGACAAACCTAGACCAGTCAACTGAGAGAGACTTTACCTATCAGGAGCAAGAACTTGTGCAAACTCTCATTCTTCCTTCTATGAGATGAGGAGATTGTGGGAATCTGAACTTGAGCAGTTATTAAATTGAACCATCTACGAAAGTATTGAAAAAGGCCACAAACGCTGAACTTTTCTCCAAGAAATGTTTGACAAGTGCCAAACTAAAAAAACAAATTTGCAACAACTAGCCAACATTCACAATTTCCACCCACCATCCTGTTTAGCAACCCAGCCAACATGGAGCTTGGGTTTTGTCTTTACCATATTATTAACAGCATGATACACTGCCCTTGAGCCAGTTTTCATCCATATGCCCCTTTAAGTTATTACTATTTTGTTATTTTTTTTTTAAGTTATTGGGAATGATCTTCCCCACTTTCAGCTCTTCTAATTACCTTTCTTTTGCAGAAACTGGTGAATGTGGAAGCTTTGGCTGTGTCAGCTGGAACCTAGATTTTCTTGCATGGGAAAAGCTTGGCATTGGCCGAATGTTGGTATTCATGGGTATAGAAGGAATTTTGTTCTACTTCCTCATTGCCCTAACAGAGCTGAAAGTCTTCCAGAGACTCAGATACTTATTAGCTCGAGTTTGGCATAAAGTGGCTGTTAAGCCTATGAAAGGTTTGTACTATTCTTTCAGAGAAGAGTTTTATTCATGAATTTAGTAGTGAAGTAAAAATTTTGCACACTCGCATACAAAATGGTATCATTATTTTTATATGTATATGTAGCAAGTTCATTAGGTAATGTATTTTTGATAGTCAATTTACAGTATTTATTCATTACCATTTTGGCACATATCCAGTAGATACAGTCCCAGAAAATGACACCCAGAAAATGGGGTAGCAGGGTGGTCAGGAGACAGTTGGTGGGCAGGTAAGTAGCAGGACGGGTGGCAGAGTGGGTGGGTAGGTAGCAGTGAGAAGGCAGGCAGTGAAGCGAGATGGATTGCTGCAGTGGGCGAGCTTCTGACTAGGACTAACACAGGAGCGAGTCACCGCCGGTCACTCCCCAAGTCCTTCCCCTGCCCCCCATCCCCCCCATTCTGCACACTGGCCCCCCTCCCATTCCTCACACTGGAATGTCTGGATGGTATTACTTTGGTGGGCTTCCTTGCTACCAGCCAGTGGATCGAGAAGCAGACTGCCTGACAATAAACTCTTATTGTTTACTGACTGACTGGTTGCGACTGTGAAAGCTCAATTGACTGTAAATGCCTGATTGAATGTAAATACCTAACTGGTTGCTACCACAACTGTGAATGCTTGACTGACTTGTGGTGACTGTAAATGACTGGTTCTGACTGGCTGCCACATAAGAGGCAGTGAAATGTGTGAAAGGAAAATCTGGAACCAGTGAGGCAGAAATAAAAGCGTTTAAGGTGACCAGGGGATGGTCCTTCTAATCACTCTCCTCTATCACCCTTCCCTCCTCCTCCTCACCATCTACCATACGCCAACAAGAATCCTCAGTAAAAGTAAGGTGCAGTTAAATGTTCACTTATTTTATTTATGGTTTATATTTATATCCGATTGTTTTGCGTATGAAAAATATGAGTAAATGTATTTGTAATTTTTTTGGGGGTGTAGAACAGATTAATTAAATTTATTTCTTATGGGAAAATTTGTTTCGGTGCCGTCTTTTGGAACGGATTAAGTTTGTAGACCGAGGTTTCACTGTACTATAAAAGGATTTTATTTCCAGTAAATAGCATTTACTTTATATGCTTGTAGTTCTGGTTTTTATTTGTATAATACATAAATACAGTAATTTTCATTTTTTTTATATAGATTCTGAGGCAGGAAGTGACTTGATTACTGAAGATGAAGATGTCAAGGCTGAGAGTTTACGTGTACATAATACCCCTATCGACCAACTTCAGCAGACAGATAAGCTAATTTTTAGGTGAGTAATATAGTGCAATGACATTTTTGTTTGTAAATAATTTTTGTAAGTAAGGCTGGATTTTGTTGCAATATATTCCAATAATAATTTTACAGATTCCTTAATGGAAAATCCAAATTACTCCATGGCCCAAGTAACTCAAACTTGTAAGACGACAGGACAGCCAGAGGTATAGAGCCTGCATGGGAATGTCCCTGCTGAAAAAAATAACAAATAAAAATCACCATTAACATTTCCAATATCTTAAGAGGAACTTAAAACTTCAAGGCTAGCACAATTCTCTTTCCTTACAACACATACTGTAGATATTTCGTAATCAAAATATGTATCTTGTAACCAACAACTCTTGCCTGCAACCCTGTCAGATATCGTGTTTGAGTGTATAATTCTGTCCTACATTGTTAAGCTTGAAGCTGTTGCCTCACTGGCAAAGTTTGCATCACATTTGACCATTTAAAGAAGTGGCCTGAATTAATATCCTCAAACTTGGTCATTAGTTTCAAGGTCTCGATAAGGTCAGCCTTATCATGTCTAGTTTTCAGTGTTTTGTCTTATGGCCCTCAACTGTTTCTCGTGTGAGAGTTGACTTAATTCTTGAATTATTTTTGTTGTTCTGTATTGAAGTTTTTGCAAAGTAAATATGTAGGGTGGCCAGATGGGAAACACTGTTTTAACAATCTGGAGGTTTGGCACCTGGCTTAATATTGGTACATTATCTAGAATTAAATCAGTATTTATGTACTACAGTACTGTACATAAACGTATACATATACTGTAATTATGGTTATAATAGTGTGGTAAAATCACAGTAATAAATAGTATTGCCTGCCAATTATTGAGCTGGTTTTTCTTTTTCTTCTATCTTCTAGTTTTGGCATATTTTAATGTCTCCTCATAGCTCTTCTCTTTCAGTTTCGGATGCCATTTAGTTGCATGTTTTTGCACCTTTTCCAGTTTGATGTGCTTCTTAAGATATAGAACACCATACAAGACTGCATATTCCAAAAGTGTTTTTATTGAAATTCGGTCCTCTCAGTGCTATTATATTTGCTATTATAACTAGCAAAGAAACCGGGCATTTTTACTTCGGTGTTCTCTTATTCAAGCAGGAGCTAACAGGTTAACACACAAGAAAAACTAAGCTGACCAGGATGGAAGAAGAGAGAGAAACCTGTCAAGCCTGAGTGAATCGGCACTTGCTTAAGAAAGCCTATCTCAAAATTGTGTACCTTGTTTGTTAAACATTAAGGTCAGAGTAAAATATAGTACGACATTAAATTTTGATGCTGTTTAAGAATTTAGTCTGAGTACGGAGATTAAAGGTGTTAATCAACATGGTTCAGAACTTCAAAAGTAATACTTAACTGATGTATCTTTGTTGGAAAACGTTTGCACTGAATATGCATAGCTTGCTTATAGGATGTAACTTTCTGCCATAAAATGTGACATGATTTTTATATAGATTAACAGAAAACTTTTTTTTATGATTTTGCACTTAAAGCATGAATGATAAATTTTCAAGGATTTAAGAAATGGAAGTCTTAAGAAAGCTATCATAATTTCATCATTTTGAAAAAGCATGTTGTAAAATACCATAGAATAGCAATACTGTATATCATTTATGAAGAGGGAAACATAAGATTAAGGACCTGCCCTAAACACTGTGTGTGCTAGTGGCTGTACAAGAATGTAACAACTCTTGTACAGGTATATATAAATTAAAAAATAAGTTGCTTTATGGAAAGGGTTATGGTTTAGACAAGTGTTGATGGTAAGGGGGGGGGAGATTCAAAATTATTATAATAAACATTTGCAATTGTAGGCCTGACATGTGGGCAAACTTTATTAAGTAGTGGTCTTATTTTAGATTCATTAATGATAAGCTTTAAAGGAATGTACAGATAAACCAATTAGTATTGTGGACATTATGAGCCGGCTTTCTCTCTACTACACAACAGAATAGCTTTCAAAGGACTTGTGTGACATTCCACTATTGAAACATATCAATACAGATTCCTCAACAAAAATATTTATTTATACAGTATGAACATTTGTGTGTTACTAAAGAATGTGTAAAGTACTGTATTAAGTTGATAATTTTTATATTTCAGGGACCTGTGCAAAAATTACGGTGGAGACTTCATGGCAGTGAACCATCTCAACCTTGGAGTACCTCTAGGCGAGTGTTTTGGCCTTCTTGGAATTAATGGAGCAGGAAAAACAACAACATTCAAAATGCTTACTGGGGATCTACCTGTATCTTCTGGTGATGCATTTGTGAATGGATACAGCATTAAATCTGATCTGAAGAAGGTAGCAATCAATAGTACTTTATTAATACAGTATAGAGATCAGTAATAATAACCCCTGCTATTTCTTAACTCTTATGTTGCTTCAGTCATCTGCAGATGATTTTATCAAGCACTGGTTTATAAGTCAAGGTGGCAGTTTGGTTATGTTCCATTACCAGATGGCCCTGGAGACTATCCTCTAAACTGGAAAAAGTCTTTACTGTTCTAAGTTTTTCCTTCCTAGGCATTAGTAAATAGATTACTCACCATACTGGAGCTGTGCACTGTATGCACAGCAAGCTGTTGCCTCACTGGCAAAGTTTGCATCACATTTGACCATTTAAAGAAGTGGCCTGAATTAATATCCTCAAACTTGGTCATTAGTTTCAAGGTCTCGATAAGGTCAGCCTTATCATGTCTAGTTTTCAGTGTTTTGTCCTATGGCCCTCAACTGTTTCTCGTGTGAGAGTTGACTTAATTCTTGAATTATTTTTGTTGTTCTGTATTGAAGTTTTTGCAAAGTAAATATGTAGGGTGGCCAGATGGGAAACACTGTTTTAACAATCTGGAGGTTTGGCACCTGGCTTAATATTGGTACATTATCTAGAATTAAATCAGTATTTATGTACTACAGTACTGTACATAAACGTATACATATACTGTAATTATGGTTATAATAGTGTGGTAAAATCACAGTAATAAATAGTATTGCCTGCCAATTATTGAGCTGGTTTTTCTTTTTCTTCTATCTTCTAGTTTTGGCATATTTTAATGTCTCCTCATAGCTCTTCTCTTTCAGTTTCGGATGCCATTTAGTTGCATGTTTTTGCACCTTTTCCAGTTTGATGTGCTTCTTAAGATATAGAACACCATACAAGACTGCATATTCCAAAAGTGTTTTTATTGAAATTCGGTCCTCTCAGTGCTATTATATTTGCTATTATAACTAGCAAAGAAACCGGGCATTTTTACTTCGGTGTTCTCTTATTCAAGCAGGAGCTAACAGGTTAACACACAAGAAAAACTAAGCTGACCAGGATGGAAGAAGAGAGAGAAACCTGTCAAGCCTGAGTGAATCGGCACTTGCTTAAGAAAGCCTATCTCAAAATTGTGTACCTTGTTTGTTAAACATTAAGGTCAGAGTAAAATATAGTACGACATTAAATTTTGATGCTGTTTAAGAATTTAGTCTGAGTACGGAGATTAAAGGTGTTAATCAACATGGTTCAGAACTTCAAAAGTAATACTTAACTGATGTATCTTTGTTGGAAAACGTTTGCACTGAATATGCATAGCTTGCTTACAGGATGTAACTTTCTGCCATAAAATGTGACATGATTTTTATATAGATTAACAGAAAACTTTTTTTTATGATTTTGCACTTAAAGCATGAATGATAAATTTTCAAGGATTTAAGAAATGGAAGTCTTAAGAAAGCTATCATAATTTCATCATTTTGAAAAAGCATGTTGTAAAATACCATAGAATAGCAATACTGTATATCATTTATGAAGAGGGAAACATAAGATTAAGGACCTGCCCTAAACACTATGTGTGCTAGTGGCTGTACAAGAATGTAACAACTCTTGTATATATAAATTAAAAATAAGTTACTTTATGGAAAGGGTTATGGTTTAGACAAGTGTTGATGGTAAGGGGGGGGGATTCAAAATTATTATAATAAACACTTGCAATTGTAGGCCTGACACGTAGGCAAACTTTATTAGGTAGTGGTCTTATTTTAAATTCATTAATGATAAGCTTTAGAGGAATGTACTTGACAGATAAACCAATTAGTATTGTGGACATTGAGCCGGCTTTGTCTCTACTACACAACAGAATAGCTTTTAAAGGACTTGTATGACATTCCACTATTGAAACATATCAATACAGATTCCTCAACAAAAATATTTATTTATACAGTATGAACATTTGTGTGTTACTAAAGAATGTGTAAAGTACTGTATTAAGTTGATAATTTTTATATTTCAGGGACCTGTGCAAAAATTACGGTGGAGACTTCATGGCAGTGAACCATCTCAACCTTGGAGTACCTCTAGGCGAGTGTTTTGGCCTTCTTGGAATTAATGGAGCAGGAAAAACAACAACATTCAAAATGCTTACTGGGGATCTACCTGTATCTTCTGGTGATGCATTTGTGAATGGATACAGCATTAAATCTGATCTGAAGAAGGTAGCAATCAATAGTACTTTATTAATACAGTATAGAGATCAGTAATAATAACCCCTGCTATTTCTTAACTCTTATGTTGCTTCAGTCATCTGCAGATGATTTTATCAAGCACTGGTTTATAAGTCAAGGTGGCAGTTTGGTTATGTTCCATTACCAGATGGCCCTGGAGACTATCCTCTAAACTGGAAAAAGTCTTTACTGTTCTAAGTTTTTCCTTCCTAGGCATTAGTAAATAGATTACTCACCATACTGGAGCTGTGCACTGTATGCACAGCTCAATTTATTTTCTATCACATTTATATATCAAATTGAATTTATTACACATATTACAGAGAGCTTTCAAGTTTACTAAGATGAAATAAGGTACTAATAGCAAGGTCTTGGGTGCCAAGAATACCCATTATCATTCTTTATGCTGCCTAACTGAGCAAATTTAATGCTACAAATTACAAATTCAGATGATACCATGTCTGTGACTTTTAATGATCTTGGCGTTGGTCGAGGTGTGATCGTGCTAGTGATGCGAACACTTTTGATCATGGTGCAATTACAGTTGTGGCAGTTAGACCCTTCTGTAGTTTGTCAAATGAAGCAGCTCTGCTACCACGAGCTAGTAAAGGCGATAGTTCCTGTGTGGCATTTAGTGATTATAGAGACTTATTTCTGCTTCTGATGGATAATATATAAGTGACTAACAGTAAGGAGAGGGCGAGTAAGGGAGTGGTCAAGGTGGCAGCCACAAAACTCTGCTTCTTCACTGTCATTCTTTGATCTGCCAAGTTGAGAAAATTTAGTGCTGGAAGATAATGAGTCTGATGAAAATACTGTGTCAGTGTGACTGTTACTGATCATGATGTTCTTGGTAATCCTATAATATTTGTGTAAATATTGGTACAATCTAGAGTAGTTGTGGTGGAGAGAAGTATCTTCGTGTTGCCAAGTGCAGTAGAGCAAATACGGTGCAACATGCTACAGCACTTGATGAAAATAGTGCCATTGTGAATTTACTATCCATGGTGCATGCGGTGATCATATATTAGTAATATAAGTGTTGGTGGTAATAAATAAAGTAAAGGACTTGATCATATTAATGAAAATTGAAGGGTTGAATATTATTCAGCTGACTGCTAGTTTGAGGTAGAGTATTCCCTAAAGGGATACCTACTTTTTTTTCACCCTAAATTTGTGGCATCTGTGTAACATCTGGAGAATGGCTATGTATTTTATGCTTTACTCTAATAGAGTTAATAGGGTTAATACACTGGAATTATCTAAAATCCGAAATGTGCCTGCTGTATAATACTTGCATTCTTTACACTTTTTAATTGTATCTGATTCAAAGTTAGGGGTAGATTTCATTATACATTAAAGTTACTGTCACCCTTTTCCATTTTTCTGTTCCATAGAAACATTATTACTTTTAAGTGTTCATTTATTTGCAGGTTCAGCAGGAGATAGGATATTGTCCGCAGTTTGATGCACTACACGATCACATGACTGGTAGAGAGTCACTTCGCATGTTTGCACGCCTGCGTGGAGTTCCCGAGCGCCAGATTGAGGAAATGATTAATAGTCTTGCTGAGCAACTTCTTGTTACACACCATTTGGACAACTTGTTTGGCAACTACAGGTAAAGTTTAGTTTCATAACACGGTACTGTATATTTGGGAATCGCAGATAATATGAAATTCCATAAATTAACAAATTATATAGATTGTTTATACAGACAGATATATTCTGATTGTTTATACAGACTAATATTTGGGTATATGAAAATTTATTTTTATTTCAGGGAAATGTATTTAACCCTTCAGGAGTACCCTGCGTTGTTTGCATGCGTTGGTACTGTAAAATAGTTTTTTACAGATATTTCTCAAAATGGTGAAAACAGGCATCTGTTAAATGTTTATTTGCCAAATGCATCATTAACAATATAACTGACTTGGCCTGTAATGCTTCCTGTGTTTTTTTTTTTATTTTTGTGTGTACTGCACATCAAATTTTCTTTACCCCATCATATTTTTTTGTGGCTAATATAAATAGCAAAGAAAAATTTAATACTGAATATCACAAAATGCAGATGCTTTAAATAATAGGTAACTAATTTTGATAAAAGAAATTGTTTGAAAATTTAATTACTGTATGAGGAATAATAAGTGCCTCTCGGTATTTTTTTGGGCAAGGAGAAAGAAAAAACATTTTTACATTTTGTGAAATTCCATACTACACTATAATTTCAGTAAGTATAATTTTAATTACACTTTAGTCTAGTTAATAATTTAATTAGCATTTTTTTTTTTTTACAAGTGGAGGAAATAAGCGTAAATTGAGCACTGGAGTGGCTTTGGTGGGAGACCCTCCACTGGTGCTGCTAGACGAGCCATCATCGGGGATGGATCCTGTGGCGCGAAGGTTGCTCTGGGATGTCCTCACTTCTGTAAGGGATGCTGGTAGAAGCATTATACTCACCTCTCATAGGTAAATATATTCGATCCTGTATGTTTATTTTGTCATCATGGACATTTATGATCTGCTGGAGTATTGTGGTGGCATTTGGCATTTCTGTGATGCTATAATTTGAAAAGGTGTGGTGAATGGATGGGTGTTATTGTGAATGTCTTACTTTCTCGGTCTTCTCCAAATCCTCTACCTTATATAAGTGAAGAAATAAAATATTTACAATTTTGTGTCCTGGTCAACTCCCATTTCTGTTTAATTTCCAGTACTGAAATATGTCCCAAATTCTCTTTTTCGTTTTTCTCAAATCTTTCAAGATTTTGTACATATTTTCTCAATTCTATAAAGATGGCCATGGACTTGTAGTTGCATATATCACTTGCTACTGCATACTCATTCACGCTACAAGATGCACATACCATAACTGTAAACACTAGTTATACAATTTTTAAAATATCATTTGATTTCTCATTTTAAATGAAGAGACTATATCTGGATATTAAGGAGCTTGCTGTTAAGATAATAAAATAGTCTGAATTCCTTAATGCCACTGTAAATTTCCATTAAATTATAATGTACAGTAGCTTTTAGATGCTATATAAAATATTTTGTTATATATAAAATGCTCAATTTGGCAGTTGAATATTGTTTATCATCAGCAATTATTTTACAGGAAAGTTTTGCAAAGTATTTATTGTAATATAGCATATATTTATGGCAAAATTAACTAGTTTATAGTTTAGCATGGGGTTTGCCTTGCATAAAGCAAACAGAGTTAACCATCAGCTATGTTCCCTGCTCAGCATGGAGGAATGTGAAGCGCTCTGCACTCGTTTAGCCATCATGGTCAATGGGAAATTCTGCTGTATAGGATCACCACAACACTTGAAGAACAAGTTCAGTGAGGGCTACTCTGTCATCATCAGGTAAGTATCAATCACAAACCCAGGATTTGCTATACATTTATTGCTGTAGATACATTATTTATATAAAGAAAACCACTTTTATGTATACAAAGCATGCAAATTGGTAATTTTAACAATCTCATGAAGTTTTCTACAAAAGATTTTATATATATTGTATAGGAATTTTAAGAAACTAAATTTATTGCCCTTAATACAAAGTGATGTCAGAGAAAAATTATATGAAAGTGTTAAATTTTGTTCTTGCAACACACTTCATTGTTATATACAGTATAGTGATTTGAATAAACTGTTTTTGTCCCCAGAGTTTGTATGTCTAGTTCCCAAGATGGCCATGACCCTAGCCTTGCAGAGATGCCACCAGAAATGCTGACTGTCAAACATTTTATTGAAAAAAAGTTTCCAGGTAGGGTGGTGTGTGTGCTCAGATTTTACTCCTGCAGTTGTAAAGGGAGGAGTGTGTAAGATAGAATATTTGTGATGCGTTTCAATTTTTTTTAATTGTGTGAAGAATATTGTATTTCTAATGAAAGAACGAAGAACAGCCTTGAGACAATGTGAATGTCAATGGAAGGAAAAATACATTTCACTCTCAAATACAGTATGTCTCATAATCTGAATGAAAGAAGTGTATTAATTAGCTTTGGAAATTTTATGTATCGATGCCTTCAAGTAATATCCAGTTAATTAATTATCCTTGGACAGCCTCTGCACAGACAGGGTGCTATACAACATGCATTGCAGGGAATTTTCAACCAGCCTTGCATGGTCATATATATGGAGTCACTGAGGAAATGAATTCACCTGAAAAGGGCCATCATAAGTAAATATATAATTAGCCAAACTCCTTTTGAACTATCACTTATCACTGATAGACAGATGAGGGCAGTAATCAGAGACAATGTATCTGACTGGAGGAGTGTTACTAGCAGAGTACCACAAGGTTCAGTTCTTGCACCAGTAATGTTAGTTATCTACATAAATGATCTACCAGAAGGAATACAAAATTATTTGCATGTTTGCAGAAGATGCTAAGATACTGGGAAAGATAGGAGGCACAGATGATTGTAATGCTCTTCAAATCGATCTTGGATAAAGTAAGTGCTTGGAGCGTCAAGTGGCAGATGGAATTCAATGTGAATAAATGCAGTGTTATGGAATGTTGATTTAGAGAAAATAGACCACACACAACTTACAAATTATGTGTAATGGAATTACAGAACTCTACTAAAGAATGAAACCTAAGGGTGGTTTTGGGTACTAAGCTGTCGCCAGAGGAACACAAAGAACATTGTGAGAGGAGCGTATGCGTCGCTTTTCAACTTCACACTTACTTTTAATAATATGGTGAAATACTAAAGAAAATTTTCATGACTTTTGTGAGACCAAAACTGAAATATGCAGTAGTTGTATGGTGCCCAAATCTCCAGAAACACATCAATAAACTGGAAAAGATGCAGTGGCATGCTACAAAATGGCTTCTGGTACTGAAAAATAGTTATGAGAAGAGACTACAGACATTAAACATACCAAAACTAGAAGATAGAAGAAAAAGAAGTGATATGATCATCACGTAAAAAATTCTTACAGGAATTTACCAAATTGACAAGAAAGAATTCCTGAAACCAGCAACATCACGAACAAGATAGATTTAAGCTAAGGAAACAAAGGTGCCAAAAAACATTAGAAAATTTTCTTTTGCAAACAATGGTAGCCGTTGGAACAAGCTAAGGAGGCCAAAAACGTCAGTAGTTTCAAAGTGTTATACAACAGAGTAGTGGGAAGACGGGACATCACGAGCATACCTCTTCATCCTGTAACTGCACTTAGGCAATTACACTTTCCATGCTGGATTTAACAAATAAGAAGTGGGGGGGGGGGGGATGTATGGATTTGGATAGGATGATGAGACCAAGTTCAAAGATGAAGGTAATACAGTATTGTAAGAAATAGTTGGGGCCTTGGGAAAGCCACTGAGCACATTTAAAACCAAATTCTATGATTCTTTTTATTTCCAGTTGTTGAGGTTTTTGTTCAGTAAAATGCGAGGCCGCTGTTTCCTGTGAAAAAGAGATTTCGAGGCTTGAGCATAGGAAATAAGCTAGATGTGGTTAAATCTCTCTAGACAGGTACTCTTGGCTATTGTCCTTCGTATGAAAATTTGAAATTATAGTTTTGCTCGGTGAAATCATAAAACAGGAAATATTAAGGTATGAATGGTAATACACTGAATATGAATCCAATCACGTTTTTGATGATTTTTGTAGACGTACTCAATATTACAAGAAACGATTGGGGCCTTGGGAAAGCTGTTAAGGATATTTAAAATTAAATTCTATGGGTTTTCATTCATTTGAGTATGACTCTGCTACCTTTTGAAAACAAGTTTTTTAGGCTGGGGACATAAGAAATAAGCTAGATGTCGAAACGTGTTTGCAGAATGTTCATTTGGTAGTTGTCTATTATATTATAGATGAAAATGATAATTTTACTAAGGGAAATTAGCCCATAGGGTGTGGAAAATGCATCCTGGAGGCATCTCCTGTTGCAACAAATGAGGTTGGTCCCATGTAGTTCATTGAATAGAGGTTGTAATGTAATGCAAAATATTGATTTTCTAGACATTCCTGAGGTGGACCTCTGCCTGACAAGAAGTTGCCTGTGCATGTGGTGTCTTACCATGATTGTTATGCATTACTGGTGGATATGTCTTGATTAGAACCAGTGGGAGACTTGCATAATGAGATCTCTTGCGGGAATGATTCATATACAGTATTGTTGGTTATTTCAAGTTACCTTAATTTTTATAATATAATTTCTTCACTATGTTTTTCCACAGCAAACCATTTGAGAGAAATGCAATGGGGACGGTTGGAATATTTCATTCCTGTTGAGGGCTGCACATGGTCGTCAGTGTTTGGTACAATAGAAAGAAATCGCCACGAGTTGCCAATTAACGATTACTCGGTTACTCAAACCACACTTGAAAGGGTTAGTTTTTCTAAAAAGTTCTAAGCTAAAATATTATTTTTTCATGTACTGTACAGTTTTTAATTTTATAATCAAACTGAAATTAAAATATTAGCTTGGAGTGCCAGTCATGTTATATTTTCACTTTCAGCTAGGAAAACTGGTGAAAAGATTTAGTATTCTACTGGACTTCCAATTACCATTTCTCCTTTTATTCATTTCCAGGTTTTTCTGACATTCACCCGTGGACAAAGACCTGATGGAAATGACAACAGATAGGGGCAGGACTGTCGTTAAATTCTTAATTACAGTAAGAAATAGCTTGTCAATTATATTGTAAAAGTATTCAACTTGGTTTCAATACAATATTGACAAGCAAGTTGATACTAAATGTTAGTACAGTATTAGCTTGGACACACACTAGTCATGGAATGTTGTATTTTTAAGTATGATTGGTAAGGTAATGTGAGGGTTGGGCGAGTATTTGAGCTTGTATTTTAAAGGTATTTAAAAGTAATTTTTTAAAGCATCATTAAACATTTTTGTGATGTGCAATGCTCATGTTAATATTTGCCAAAACTCCAGTGACGAATAATGAAACGACTGCTTTTGGTGGGTCTTTTGATGGCTCTTTAAGCTACCCACCTGGAACCTTGTATACATTTTGGGTATCAAAGCAGTCTCTAATGAATCACAAGAGCCTACCAGAACCAGAATTTGATACATACAAGTTCATCACAATATCAAACCACCGGAAAGGTAGTGGGCAGAAATAAGCAACTGCTTGAACAATACTTTAATTCGTGATTCAAAGTATGTACACACTCATTGTCTAGGTTCACCTAGTTAGTGCCACTCCACTGCCACAGATGCCAGCCATGGCATCTGTGGCAGTGGACAAAAAGGAGGCCTGGCTGAGGACTGGGCCACGGGGATGGTAAAGCCCCGAAATCATCTTAAGATAACCATGTTCCCACCAGAAAATGGCATTTCACTATATTCAATGTTGGATTTCTGGAAGAGCTTCCTGAGCTAGAGAAAAAATTAAAAGGCTAACCCCGAAAGAACTCTGCACAGAATGACCAACCCAGCACCACAATGCCCAGCACTGCCTAGAAACATTAACCAGGTAATGAATGGCAAGTGGATAGGGAGCCGGTCGGCCGAGCGGACAGCACACTGGACTTAGTGATCCTGTGGTCCTGGGTTCGATCCCAGGTGCCGGCGAGAAACATTGGGCAGAGTTCCTTTCACCCTATGCCCCTGTTACCTAGCAGTAAAATAGGTACCTGGGTGTTAGTCAGCTGTCACGGGCTGCTTCCTGGGGGTGGAGGCCTGGTCGAGGACCGGGCCGCGGGGACACTAAAGCCCCGAAATCATCTCGAGATAACCTCACGATAACTATGAGAGCACCCAAGCAACAAACCTAATTATCTACTCAGGATATTAGAAAAGAAGGTGGACAGCGCCATAAACTTGTGGATGTTGCATGTCCAAGCAGAGACTTTAGGCTGGCCTAAATTAATCGCCCTGCAAACCACAAGGGACCAGGGTTTAACAAAGTTTGCACCCGAGTACCTCCTAGTAGTATGCAAGAAGCAGTGCACCACTGCAACAGGACAAAACATGCCCCCAGCCAGAGTAACCAACCCTCAACTAAAGGAATCTTTTGAAACCCTTCAGACCCTTTCTTCAGCAGAAAAGACAGTGCAGGAACAAACACCTCAGTCAAACAGAAAAATAAATAAAACATTCCAAAAAGGAAATGACAAGACAACCACACCAAAAGCCACCAAGAGGCATTACCCAAGTTCAACAAAATATATATTAAAAGTAAAAATATCACAACCAATACCTATGGCAGTGGAGAGACAAGAGAAGGTGAAAAGCATGTCCAGCCACTGCATACCGCTTCTTAGAAGACAAGTGCCAAGGTGGCATCAAAAGACCTGCCACTGGGATCCCATACAAACATTGAAAACCAGAAACATCCACATGTTAAAATTGGCAGAAAGCATTAACCACAGAGGGAAGGCACCTGAGCATACCAGTGGAAGGGGCAAGGCCTTGAAAAGACATGTAGTAGCCCCCCTCCTCAACAAAAAAAGGAAAATAATGATTGAACTGGCCATGAAACCAGAAACAAAGCTGCATACAGAGTTCAGAACTTTATCAAAAAGATTGTAGCAACCTGTTACAAGTGACAGAAGAGAAACCACCAGAGTGCAGCCATACCCTGAAGCTCCATAAAAGACTAATGTCCAGCTAATTTCAAGTCAAGATCATAGGTATCCATGAACAGTGGGAATAGAGGAGAATTGTGCATACTATGTGGGCTTTTGCACAACTGCTTGAGAAGCCCACGAGAAATCTGATCAGACCTACCCCACCCCCCCGGTTTCTATCCCAAATGGGATAGAAACTGAATCTAAGCAAACCAAAGTGGGCAATGATAAAAGGACAACATGCAGATAGCACAAACCGGGCACAAAAATGTCTGAACTCACAACAGGTCTGACCAAAACTAGCACCAGTTAATGAGGAACCCAAACCCCACTCAAGAAATAGAACCCTGGGTACTGTAAAGCAAGAATGTTGTCAAAGGACCAAGAGGGTTCAAGTAGCACATGAACAGGCCAGAGGTGAAATAATGTATAAGGAAGTATTTGTCATGCAAGCAGCAGTGGTTCCACCAGTGCCAAATGATAAGAGGAGACAGTATTGACCCAGCGAGGTACATCACTGGGTCAAACTTCTGAAAGAGGTGGAGCCACGAAAAAACAGCTGGGTTTGGACACTGCGCATGCAGCACCTGAAACCAACACCGAGCTGGCCACCAAGGAGCCTGGAGGGCTACTATTCCCATGTAGGATTCCAAGTTAGCCAGGACCCAGAGCAACAGCTGGACTGGAAGAAAGAGGTACAAAAAACTCCACTGCGACTATGAGGGCCTTGTGATCAGGGAATAGAGTTGTGTAAAGAGGAAGGCAGATTCTAAGCTAACAGAGATCCAAATCGAAGCCTCCTGAATGTCTTGGAAAGCCACTGGAAGTAGGCAACATTGACTGCAAGAACATTGGACACTCTCCAAACGTGAACTACATGGAAAACCAAGCCCTGAGAAGCTAGCAGACAGGTTACCCACAGCATCCAGATTCAAAAGGAGCTCTCTCCCCTGATTCAGGCAACCACCGGGAACAGGCTGAATGAAGCCAGAGACCAGACGAATCTGAATGCTCCTCAGGGCATGCCAGTCGCAAACTCCTACACCATACTGTGTCCAGTGAAAAGGAACTGGCTAATGATCCTGGGCTGCTTAAAGAGCGCTGGTCACAAAGCCCCAGCCCAGAGCAGACATGGCTATAAAAATGTCGTGATGGTAGAGGAAGGTGTACCACGGAACGAGAACCCAAGCCAGCAAAGCAGCAAATGCAGAGAGTGCAGTAGCAGCAAGAGGGGCTGAATTGGAGAAACCAGAACAGACCTTCCCAGTGAAAAAACCATGCTGACAAAGTTGAGACTTTTATACTACTGTTCGAGCATCCACAGTCTGTTTCAACCCCAGTTGACTGCTGCCTCAAAGCTGCCGGAGGAAGGGAAAGCCACAGTGAACGAGTCCCACACGAGGCCCATCCAAATCCAAACCTGGGCCACCATAAACTGGGACCTATTGGGAATTTGCTAGCAAGCCAGTTGTTCACCAGGAACCTGAACTCCACAAGCTGAGAAAGAACCAGATCTCTGACCAGCAGATACCCATAATGACTGTGTCCCCACCAGCCAGTTGAGGTAGGCTAACATGAACCCTCAAGAAATGAAGAAGAGCCAATCCGGTGAATACATGAGGAGCCAGATTCAAGCTAAAGGTAAACACCCTGATGCACTTTTACAACCAATCCCTGAAACTTTGATGTACAGTATAGGAATAGATGACATTTCAGTCTATCCTGAGGTCAAGGACAGTTCAAAATGGTCATATCTTCATCTTCTGGAGTGGCATGCCGATAAGTGTCCTGGAAGTCCTGGGAAATCATCCAGGACCCCATCTCCAATATGAAGTGAACCTGGGCCAGAGTGGTCATGTGGGAAAGTGAGGCAGGGGATGAAGTTGTTCAGCCCCAAGAGGTAGAGAATGAACTAGAGCTCTAAAAGTCCTGTTTTGGAACCAGGAAGAGACGAGAGACTCAGCGAAGAGACATGGTCATTTCGACCATTGGTAGCCACCAACTCCACAATGATACAATACAAATGAGATAGAAAGGCCTGCTCTAAAAGCCCAAACCCCCCAGAAGGTGGGAAAAAGATTGACCCTCTCTACAGCAGGCAGTGTGAAACAACCCAAAAAGCCTACAAATCATAGGATCAGTAGTCGGCAAGCTGGGCGAGCCACTTTCACCATGACAGGATCGGCATGAACCACAACTAGTGGTAACCCTCGGAACAGTGCCGACCAGCAGAAAATGAACGAACAGTGGGCAGCGCATACAATCAGGCTCCAACAAGGGGCTACTTCAACTAGCAGCAGAAAGCCTTGGCCCTGTCTCACTTGCCTCTGGGCGTAAGAACAAGAGTCATGGAAACATAAAAGGTTATAAATTGGCTAGCAAGAAGCAGCTGCAGAAGACAAAGCAGAGTGACCACCTCCTCCAGAAAGAGGAGAGGTGAAAAAGACAAAGTTGAATCTACAGACTAGGCCAATACTGTCAGACTGTCTTGCTTGTTGACAAGCAAGACGGGCAGTGTAGAATGTAGCCACTGCCTCCTGGAGTACAGGCACATACAGCTTGTGTAAATCAGCAGACCCAGAGCTTTGCACATCAATGTCCTTGCAGAGCCAGTAGGCATGGATCTCCAAGGACCAAAACACGCATGACTAGCAAAGTGCTAACAATCCCACAAGTCCTCTGCCACAAGGGGCCCCAACAGCAAAGGCAACTGGAGTGAGTTGCATCACCCCTCACAATGGTCAAGAACTGGAGCAAACAAGCAGTCATTGAGAAAAAAAAAAGAAACTCACACCACTTGTACACGAGGGGGAAAAAAAAAAAGAATAGTTTGCTAGCCAGGAAGGCAAAGAAGATCCAAACTCAAAGGAGGCGGGTCCCTCATGGAGGCAAACTCTAGGTCTCACAAGAGGTACTGTATTTGAAAAGATTCGCCCAAGCCACTAAAGGGAGGGAAAGAACCTCGTGCATCCAATGGGCCAAGAGGCATGCAGAAATGAACCCTAGGGGAAGCTGCCTTAGAATCAAACTCATACAAGGGGGATATGAAAACCCCCCTAGGGGCCTCCTAGTGCAAAAAGCCCTTGTCAGATGGGAAGAGGTTCAATTGCAGTCCAAGGAAATACCTAAACACACAAGTGAGCCTTCATTACCCCAAAATTTTACATTTTTACCCCATTTGGGGTAATTTACTCTTATTTCCCAACCCCTGAACTAGTAGTAGTGTCAAAACACCGAGTGTACATCAGTGTTAAATGATGTTAAAGTTGCTTGTTTTAGAGTGCTCTCTAGTACTGTGGCAAACATATCCCCAGACTCTTCTACTAAGAGGACCAGATTCTGGTCCTCGTCTGTTAGGCAGTTGCAATTCATTAGAGCCTGGTGTTGTACCAAAGATTTTAAAGGTTCCGTATAGGTAGCTTGGGAAGTATGAAAGTGAGCTCTTGTACAATTTATTTTTCCTGTGTATTGCACAAAATAGAGCTGTAATTGATTATTGTGACCCAGGTGTTCATATCTCTTTAGCAGAGAATCATTGATTATACTAGAATATTTTTTTTAGTAGCAAATTATATATTTTATAATGTGAAATGAAAGGTTTATCATTGGTAAACACATTGGGAAAATTATGAGCTGTACTTTGTACAGTACTTATCTTGGTACAATAATGTATTGTGATATGTATTATCATAAACAATATATTTTATCATAAAAATTGTCACATGAAATTGCCCCTTGGCATTTGTATTAATTTTCATCCACTACAACCAGTGACAGTGATTTGACAAATATACTCTTATTAATTTTCTTTGAAATCTTTCCATTTATCTCCTTGAAATCATTGTTACATTATATAGGTAGTTAATTCAACTCTAGAAACAGATTATTAGTATAATATCGCAGTAAGGTGAACAACCTATGGAAAATTATTATTAAAAAAATTTATTTTATATTTAGACATTTCAGAGCCATCTAATTTGACTGCTTAACAAGATCTATGTCAATGTGACAATCATGCATGACCAGGCAGGATGACAGCTCACCGCTGCCACAGGCAACTTTTCAAACTGTCGCCGAGGTTTAACTTTTAACACGGTTCATAGTCTGCAATAAGTATTTGTCAAAATGTATGAAGCCAATAAGATGTTATACCCAAGTCAGTATGTAGCACTATCACTGTTGCTCAATATTAAAAAGGTGCTAAATATCAGTTAGGATGCCAACAGAACAAAAGTGTACAAAGCGAGCCATAGCCAAGGTCCACCAAGGGACTAATGACTATCAGCAAATTGTGAAGTCAGGACGGTGTGGGGCATATGTAAAGCCAGCATAGATGGGGTCAAAAGGGTGCCAGGAAGCATAAGGGAACCATGGGAACTGGAGGAGGCAGCACCAGGGTGGATGGACAATACATAGTAGCATGCACCAATTCTGGGACAGTTTCAGTGGAAGAACAAAGGGCTACAGGAACTTCCATACCTGTCCAAGATAGGAGTAGATGCAAGAACAAAGACAAGTGGAAATTGGTGGAAGCACTGAAGCTTTCTTACCCACTGTGGAGGGAGAGGAACAAGGTTTACAACTGACCTCCATGGTCCCTTAGAGTTAGTTGTACATGAGCCCCATTACCATGACAAGGCAGATCTTCGAGGGGGATCTAAGATTTAAGTACTCTGTAAATTTCGTGTCAAAATAAATTTCAGCATTTATATAAATTTATAAACATGTGGAAGAAAAGAATTACAACTGGTATAACTATACATTTAAAATTAATACATAAGAGTTTAATGCATCTCAATGTGATCTTTTGAACATCCAATAACATGTATATATATCCACCCAATATCAATCAACATACATTTTTAACCCTTAAAGTGCTTAAAAATGGTCTAGTGCACCATTGTAATACGATTATTTGCATTTTGTACCAATGTTTGCGACATATACCCATTTTATGGTTATAATACTGTAGCTCAATGGTGTCCCTTAACAGTCAAGAGACCACATTATAATTTGGAGTCAAACATCCAAAGCTTATATTCTATCATGTGATCAACATATCACATACCATGGACAAGATATTCATGCCACAAGATTTTGTTACTTTTGCACACAGACTCTCTACTCTATAATACATTTCACATGACAAACAAAAACATGGTTTGTTTGATCCCAGCTATCACATTCTGACTCGTGCCAGAAATGATTACCACTGCTCCCCCCCCAATACATCTTTCCTCATACCTTTTGAATGCAGAACTACCATTTCACAAAGTAAACAAAGCATTTTGGGGGAAGGGGCCCCCAAAGGCAAGGTAGCTATTTTAATAGCCACATTCAGAGTTAATTCCCCATTTTCAAATAAAATTTACCATTTAAACTTGGGCCTTAATTTATTGTCAAACTCTATATTTGACAAAAAGGAATTTGTAACTAAACTATTGCATGTAATTATGACCACCCACACCAACTTAAATCCCAGGTATAAGGAGTTTTCAGATGAGCCTCTGCAAGAGCCAAGGTACTATCAAAAGGGGCATGAAGATGGAGGGCATGGACGAGGTATTGCAAAGGAAGGTGTTGCAAAAGCAAGCATGCTCTCCAGCAAGGCCTTGGAAGCTAGCAGATTGACAGATGCTCGGATAAACCTGGTCAGCACAGCCTTTTTGGGAATCTCCTATGCCCACTAGGAAAAAAAAGAAAAATTAAAATCTTTAAGTATACAACATTAATTTGTATATAAAGGTGCAAATATAACATGTCAAACACAAACCCACAAATTTTCTAATGGTAAAGTGACAATGCAGGAAAAGCAGATGGGTGGGGACAGTGAAAAGTTCTACTTCTGGGAATTCCTTGCACCAGTTTTTTTTTTTTTTTTTTTTTTTTTTTTTTTTGAGAAGCATCTGGTGCATCTTTTCATGCACCAGTCGTCCCTTCACTTTCTAGTGTGCGGTTTGGTCAACATATTTCAGCCACGTTATTGTGACTCCTTGCCTGCAGTCTTCTCATTCTTTTATCAGCTACACAAAACTACAAAGTGCAGCTTCATGTCATCTATGATAATACAAAAATCAGCTTGAAAATTACTTCAGCAGAACGCATTGAAAACTACAAACAGCCGGCATTAACAAGTCTTCAATTGAGCAGTGGAAAATAATACTGTATGGCATTAAACGGTGATAAATTCCTGGTACTGTACAGTACTTATGGAAAATGTTAAGAACTTTAAATGTATTGTACAAGATACAATCAGATCTAATGATAGCCAAAGACCTACCAGGGCCTAAAAGCTTTATAATTTTTACTACTAGAAAGATTGTCAAATTGCAGATCTAGCCCCCTTCTCTTAGTTTTCCCACTTGTAGAAGCTTGCATAAAAGAAGCCAAAGCCAACAGAAAGAGCCTTGGAAAAACAATCTTAAACCAAAGGGGCCTCCACAAACGGATGAGAGGAAAGATAAGAGCACACTGTACAAGGACCAGGATGGCTAAGGTGGCGCATGAGCAGGCCAGAGGTGATACAAAGCACAAGAAAGCTTACAGAATGGAGCTGAAGAGACATCCACCCCGAATGCAAGCTGGAGCGGCACCAGCACCACATTTATGAGGCAACAGTATTAGGCATCAAATGAGTCCTGAAAAAGCCAAGACAAAGGACAAGACAACCTGATCCAAAATAGAAGACTACCTACAAGGAGAAAATGGGGGCCAAGAATGGCAGGAATCCTCATACTGTCTCCGAGATGAAGTTTTCAGGTGGGACATTATCAATGAAGCCAACTGATCACCATACAAAGGGTTTATCACCATATCTAAAAGACCAGACACAAGGAGCAGAGGAGACATCCAAATCAGAGAAGATCAAACCTGAACCCGAGGTCCAGGTTCCCATGTACCAGACTGGTCCAACCTGCTGAAGAGGCGGAGCTGTGGGAAACACCCCAGGTTCGCACACTGATCGAGCAGCATGCGCCTGGAACCAAGGTGCCACGAGGATTACTCTCCCTTGGTAGGACTAACCGAGCCAAAACCCAAAGCAACAGCTGGACTGGGGGGAGGGGGGTTGGAAGAGGTACAGGTAACCATGCCTCCCCCAGTCCTGCCGAAAGGTGTCCACTGTGATAGCCTGGCAGTCAGGGATGGGCTCCACATAGATCGAAAGATGCAAAGACCAAGCAGACGTGAACAGGTCCACATTCGGGACTGCCTTTGGCACTGCCGGACGGCAGTGCCAAAGGTAGTTAAGACCCAAAGCTAACAAAGGGGAGATCAAAATACTGAAACCCCTGCAATGTGTACAATCACAGGGGCCTACCAGATGGCCACCAAAATATTGTAAGTGGATTGATAGCCACACCAGGCAAGAAATAACCGACGCCTCAACCAGCACGATACCACTCCCTACCAAAGGCCAAACAAGGGCCATGAAACCCAAGCTGGCCCCAAAGGCGGGGTAAATGCCGAACGAACTGGAGTGCTAGGTAGCTGGTGCGGGGAGGTCCGGGGATTCCCCCCTTTCCCTCTATGGTAGGGAAGGGCAGTGTGGCAGTAGTGTGATGTTTGCTTGTTTCCGTGGGAATGGAGGAGTTCTACCTCTCATCAGTTTTTAGTTGCAATTTTGTCTACCTTTCTGGGTGCCCAACCCCAGTCAATGACATAAGGACTCCCCCCAACCACGGGGGGGGGTTCCAGGGCCATTGTTCCCTGCAAATTCTCTGAGGGGGGCCCAGGGTCTGGCTCTTTGTTCCCAGTAGGTTCAACTAATGCCCAGGTCTAATATATCACACATTAGCCCAACAGCTCCAGGGAGCCGAAGGATCTCCCTACAGAAACAGCAGCAGTTACTAAATTATCAAGTAAACTCAAGAGATCAAATATACTTTAGCATTACCTGGACAGGCTGAGCAGCTGAACTGAACAATACCCAACTGAATTAATTCAATTATATTTGGTGTGTGTATGTGTGGGGAAGGGGTTAATACTGTAGATGGTTTTTGTAGCAGCTCACAGATCAGCAGCTATGTGGATGTAAAGTACCACTGTTATACTGGTTAACAGAGCTGATTCACATAGCAGATTCTAGATGTAAAACTTTTTAAGATCAGGTTTTTGCAAATCTGACGTTTGCAAGTCAGGGACCCCCATTTAGCCAGTGGCTTACTCCTGTATGCATGGGAATTAAATTATAGCTAGAGAAAGGCTGCCGACAGAAAAGACGCACTTGCTCCAATGAATGTGCAAACTATGGACATAACAGTTTCCACATACAACACTGAAAAAAAAATAAGTGTATTCTACCAGGTTTGGTAGAATGGCTTTGGCTACTTAGCTTATGCCTTACATATTATGATGACGTTAATACTGTAGATAATGCATTGCATCCACAGAATAAGTTCATGCATTTTATATACAAACCCATTTTTGTTAATTTATATAGAATTGTGTAGTAATATTTTTTTGATGGATTAATTATCATAGCCAAAGACTAACATACTTTGCCCTAATTTCTACCTTAAAACTTTGTTCGTTTGCCTTCAGATGTAACATTTATATCCAAGAATACACTTGCATACAATGCCATAATACTATAAGCTTTTATTTTTGTTCATAGACTACAGTTTATCAAATGTGTTCAACAATCAAGAATAAAGTTACTTACACACTTTGGCTCCAACGGAGTAGCACGATACCGATGGGCAGAACGCTACCGACCATGATTTTGCACCAACATTATGGGTATAGCAAAACCAAGCAGTAGCTGCATAAACAAAAAAACAAAGTATATATATTATATATAAATTATGCTGTAACATTTTAATATAAATATGAAACATATCTAGCCATACAATTTAATCTTTAATTGTCTACTTCAACACTTGCTACCATTAATTGCATAATTAGTGATGTAACTCCTGTCCCTACAACTGATCATTACTCATGTTCTTTGTACACATTCTTTTGAATAAACATTGGATTGAACTGAGTAGGGCATTGTCAATCAAATCCAGTCAAGAAAATTGCCCCTTAAAATATAACCACTGTATCCATGGATGGAATACAACCATTAACATTAATGTCCATGGCTAACTACTATCAAGTAGTAATAGGCATCCATCAGTCTCGGGAGACTATGGAGTTGCACACTGGTTGTCGTTCTGGAGTGAGTTCTCCAGGGTGCAAAGCCAGAGTAGGTTGATATGGGGGGGGGGAGAAGCTGTCAACCATGCAGCAGGTGTCCCCCCCCCCTTTCTCCACTATTAAGTACATGATCAAATATATATTAAACACCAAAATTCCTCATGAATGGAGTCAATAAAAGCTCATGACATTGAATTAATATGATCACAAAGGTCACTGCCCAAGGCCCTACTGCCTTTCCCAGTATGTATACAGTACAGTACTTAGTTCCTGATGTCTCACTCTGCACTTAACCACACATTTTTATAGAATGATATGCTAGAAGCAAATTATGGATACAGCACAAAAATTTCCCACATTTTATTATCTACAACAAAATTATTTACCATTACATACTTAGATGCAAGTGTGCTTTCGCTTGTTTCAGTAAATTGCCCAAATGTTAAGAATACGATGTTAACATTGTATTCTTTGGATGTGTTAACATTATTACATAAGTAATAAAGTATTTAAGTACCGTATTGCACTATTCTTTCATTTGCAGATTGCCTTGTCTGTAGTTAATATTCATCTATAGAAGTACCAGTGATTCATGATTCACTTGCTTTTAGTAGTCTATTTTAATACAAACATTATATCATTCCCCCTCATTATAAATTCATATCAATACGTAAAAGTTGCTAAAGAAGCAGAATGACTAATGAAGTTTTTTTTTTTTTTTTTTTTTTTTTTTTTTTTTTTTTTTTACACTGCTCTACACCAGTTCAAGTTACAAATTAAGCTTCATATTCTAATTATGGTAATCTATCAAGGAAATTTAGCAGGATCTAACAACTGTTTTGAAGACACCTGTATACAGTACATTGTATTATATAACAGCATTATACTGTACCTAAATAAGTTGTCAGTATCACTCAAGCATGAACCAAGTCTAGAACAGTATATACCAAGTCAAAACTCACCTCCGTTAAGAGTCCACAAGAGCATAATGCATGTTAAAGCCCTCATTTTCATTCTGAAATTTAAAGAAATAAATTAGTTCTGGTGTTATACAACCTTGCTACAGAGGAATACACGCACTTTCACCTGATGCACCTATTCACATATAATAGACTTTCTGCTCACTGGTTTCTGGTACAAAGTGTTGGGATTATATCTACTATCAGGTTTTTTACCTCTTATGGTTTCTTTTAATTGTCTTTCCCATATGGTGTAGGCAAATATAGGCCTCCTATCTCCCATCTCCATTTCCATTATAATACACTTAGTTATTTGGATTTAACTCCAGCAACAATTTATCTGCTCATTTACTGCTCTCACAACCACCAGCATCAACCCTACACCCCCCCCCCACTAACATCAGATATTTAAAATGCAAGGAATAACTTTGAACCTTGTATACTACATATGTAAGACCAATCCTGGAGCAGGTGGTTCCCACATATGGTGTAGAGTAATTAATAAATGTAATGCACTAGAAAGTGGATGTGTAGAGGCAGTTGTTACACAGTTTCAAATGTAGATATAAGAGCTCAATAAGCTCAGGAACCTATACACCAGTAGATTGACCGTTGAGAGGTGGGAGCAAGGAGCTGAAACTCAACCCCTGCAAGCACAACTACATGAGTAACTATGTGAGTACCACTACAAGAAGATTAACAGTCTAGAGGTGGGACCAAAGAGCAGAAGCTCACCCCCCCCCCCCCCCACAAGCAAAACTGGGAGAGAGTAACTATGCGAGTACAGTACCACCTACTAACCTATCCCCCCCCTCACTAGCCTCTCCCAACAACTCATTACCAGCCTCTATATTTTAAACTAAATGGTTATAGATGTGAAATCGCTCATTTTATCAAGTACTGTCCTTCCATTTCATATGCGCAGGTTAGTACCCATCTAGTATTTTATGTAGCGCTTACATACATGTACAGTGCCGAGGGCAAATTGGAGGGGGTAAGGGAGGACCTAGCATTTGTTGAGGTTCACTAAGCCATGAACAATGTCCCCTGCATGGCCATGTATCCAGTTACACATCCATCATTCACATAAATCAAAATTATGTTAGAATGCATCTGGCAATTCCCGTTGGGAGGCTTGCAGACTAAGCAGCCCCAGGCGCGTACACCACGTGTCCAGGACGGGTCTGTCCCAGCCAGTGGACGACCCGCCCTGAACGTTCAGGGTAGTGAAGGCTCCGCCAATACGGACACGTAATATACGTGTTAACATGCAGGGCGTATGCACATCGTTATATCTATACCTGTATAGAATATGTACATCATTTATTAATAATTTACTTTACCCTGTATATATTAAATGCATTGTCTAGGGGGACAGGAAGTCATGTTATACATATTATATATATATAATATGATAATTGCACCAGTGGTGGTACCCCCCCTTTATATGCATATATATATATATATTATATATATATATATATATATATATATATATATATATATATATATATATATATATATATATATATATATATATATATATATATATATATATATATATATATTATATATATAATTTTTTCCAGTTAATTTACTTATTTGACATGAAGCCAAGTTACTAGTTAGGCTAGTTTAGATTACAGTTAATTTACTTATAATACTTTATGTATTTACTGTTTATAGTTTACTATTATACATAAATTTTACTCCAGTGTATCGGTCACCTTACCCAAAAATCGAACCCTGCAGGGCTTGGGCACAGTATCGCTAAAACTTCCTAATAGAACATTTTGCCATCCATTTTCCAGACACTGAATTGAAGTTTGAGAGCCTTAATATGCGTATATGCGCCAGCGACTTTTGAACTTGTGACTGGGCGTGACCTTGTAGCTGTGGGACCTGTTGGGAGGCTAGCATGCAAGGCGCAGGATGCTGGACAGGACACACACCCTCCCTCCGTATCTGCGTTGCTACACACATGTTTATACAGATGCCATTACTAAAATAAACGGGTAAACAAAGTGCACGTTATCTGCCCCGTTACATGCTTGCCATGCAGAATACCCTATACAGAACAATTAAGAATCCATGCAATGGCAATTACGTCTTTAAGAATCGAACCAATTATATTACAAATCACAAATCTAACACCAATTGTCTACACGCGGGAAAAAAAAAAAAAAAAAAAAGGATCTCATCAATGCCTAGTCATACACTTACAGGCACGTTAACAGTACAGAACCCAAGTCTTAAAATTAACTTAACACTGGTCAGTGGATGGGTTACTGAGCTGACTGCCTCCCTCTTCATTATTATTATTAACATCTTTATTAACAAAATTAATTACATGAATGGTATACCCAAGTACCCGCATGACCATGTACGACCCGGGGACAGGACGGGAGGGGGGGGGGACGACAGATAGACGACCCGGGTGCTGAGGAAGGGGGGGAGGCGGCGGATGGATAACCCGGGAGCTGAGGAAGGGGGGGCGGCGGATGGATGACCCGGGTGCTGAGGAAGGGGGGGGGGCGGATGGATGACCCTGGTGCTGAGGAAGGGGGGGGGGGCGGCGGATGGATGACCCGGGTGCTGAGGAAGGGGGGGCGGCGGATGGATGACCCGGGTGCTGAGGAAGGGGGGGCGGCGGATGGATGACCCGGGTGCTGAGGAAGGGGGGGGCGGCGGATGGATGACCCGGGTGCTGAGGAAGGGGGGGGGGCGGGCGGATGGATGACCCGGGTGCTGAGGAAGGGGGGGCGGCGGATGGATGACCCGGGTGCTGAGGAAGGGGGGGGGCGGCGGCGGATGGATGACCCGGGGGCTGAGGAAGGGGGGGGCGGATGGATGACCCGGAGGCTGAGGAAGGGGGGGCGGCGGATGGATGACCCGGGGGCTGAGGAAAGGAGGGGCGGCGGATGGATGACCCGGGGGCTGAGGAAGGGGGGACGGCGGATAATTGACCTGGGCTGAGAAAGGGGGGGCGGCGGATGGATGACCCGGGGGCTGAGGAAGGGGGGACGGCGGATAATTGACCTGGGGCTGAGAAAGGGGGGGCGGCGGATGGATGACCCGGGGGCCGAGGAAGGGGCGGCGGCGGATAGATGACCCGGGTACTGAGGAAGGGGGGGAGGCGGATGGATGACCCGGGTGCTGAGGAAGGGGGGGCGGCGGATGGATTACCCGGGTGCTGAGGAAGGGGGGGGGGGGCGGTGGATGGATGACCCGGGTGCTGAGGAAGGGGGGGCGGCGGATGGACGACCCGGGTGCTGAGGAAGAGGGGGGCGGCGGATGGATGACCCGGGTGCTAAGGAAGGGGGGGGGGCCGGATGGATGACCCAGGTGCTGAGGAAGAGGGGGCGGCGGATGGATGACCCGGGTGCTGAGGAAGGGGGCGGCGGCGGATGGATGACCCGGGTGCTGAGGAAGGGGGGGCGACGGATGGATGACCCGGGTGCTGAGGAAGAGGGGGGGGGCGGCGGATGGATGGCCCGGGTGCTGAGGAAGGGGGGGGGGGCGGCGGATGGATGACCCGGGTGCTGAGGAAGGGGGGGGGGCGCGGCGGATGGATGGCCCGGGTGCTGAGGAAGGGGGGGCGGCGGATGGATGACCCGGGTGCCGAGGAAGGGGGGGCGGCGGATGGACGACCCGGGTGCTGAGGAAGGGGGGGGGCGGCGGATGGATAACCCGGGGGCTGAGGAAGGGGGGCGGCGGATGGATAACCCGGGTGCTGAGGAAGGGGGCGGCGGCGGATGGATGACCCGGGTGCTGAGGAAGGGGGGCGGCGGATGGATGACCCGGGTGCTGAGGAAGGGGGGCGGCGGATGGATAACCCGGGGGCTGAGGAAGGGGGCGGGGCGGCGGATGGATAACCCGGAGGCTGAGGAAGAGGGGGGGCGGCGGATGGATGACAAGGGGGCTGAGGAAGGGGGCGGCGGCGGATGGACGACCCGGGTGCTGAGGAAGGGGGGGGCGGCGGATGGACGACCCGGGGACTGAGGAAGGGGGGGCGGCGGATGGACGACCCGGGTGCTGAGGAAGGGGGGGCGGCGGATGGACGACCCGGGTGCTGAGGAAGGGGGGGCGGCGGATGGATGACCCGGGTGCTGAGGAAGGGGGGGGCGGATGGACGACCCGGGTGCTGAGGAAGGGGGGGCGGCGGATGGACGACCCGGGTGCTGAGGAAGGGGGGGGGCGGCGGATGGACGACCCGGGTGCTGAGGAAGGGGGGGGCGGCGGATGGACGACCCGGGTGCTGAGGAAGGGGGGGCGGCGGATGGACGACCCGGGTGCTGAGGAAGGGGGGGGGGGCGGCGGATGGACGGCCCGGGTGCTGAGGAAGGGGGAGCGGCGGATGGACGACCCGGGTGCTGAGGAAGGGGGGGGGGCGGTGGAAGGACAACCCGGGGGGACTGAGGAAGGGGGGCGGGGTTTTTGAGCCAGCGATGTAATACAATTGTTAACTTATAGTGTGTAGAACACACTCCTGCTATAGGTGGTAGTGCTATAACCCACTACAAGGACCAACAGTGTCCACCACTGTCCAAAGTAAACGAAAATGGTTATGTCGACTTGCTTGAATTTGAAATTTAATTATACTTATAAATTGGTCACCCACGGTGGGTTACACAGATAATGGTATGGCAAGACCCTCTTAAATACATGTTATTGCTAAATATGTTGTTTTTATTTCAGACGACTTTCCTAAATATAATGTAGCATAATATACAAGACGACTTTCCTAAATATAATGTAGCTTAATATACAAGACGACTTTCCTAAATATAATGTAGCTTAATATACAAGACGACTTTCCTAAATATAATGTAGCATAATATACAAGACGACTTTCCTAAATATAATGTAGCTTAATATACAAGACGACTTTCCTAAATATAATGTAGCTTAATATACAGACTCTTGACACTACCCGTGAAGACAGGCCCAACAACTGTTGGGTTGTGACAATGGACCAACTTACCCTGGTACCGACAGTTCTCCCATTACAAAATGATTTAAGGAAACGCCTTCTACCCCTTAGAATTCCTATTCACTTTTCTTCCGGACTACCAAATAAATTATGAAGTACTCTACTTACCTAATTCACTCGAAGTTGTGGAGAAAGGTGGAGTGCGCGTGGCGTCTTGACACTTGAGTGTTGCCTAGCAGAGTGGCTGGTCCCAGGCGAGCTACTCCAACAGGCGCCCCTCGCCCCCAATCCTCGCCGTACCTGAACTAGACGCGTCCACCAACTGCCCAATAGCATACGTCAGCTCTTCTACCATTCCTTTGTATTAACGTTGGCGATCTTTAGTATTCATCCAATAATTTACAGATGACCGTCCATGAGTTTTCGTTCCTAATATAGAGTTACTGGCCACCATTCACTAATGACCAGGGGAAGTTAGCTCAGAGCATCTTTGATGTGCTTTGATGGCAACGAAAATGTTGCCCCCCTTCAAAAGTTAAGCTTGTCTACAGCATTTCATTTTTTAATTAACTAGTAAGGGGGAGATTCTGAATAGCAAGTGCATATAGGCACTGCCACTGGCTTATGGCAAAAGATTCTGTAGCAATAGAACTATAAGCCACTTTCTCCCCCCCCCTCTTCCTCCCAACTGTTCAGTGTCAAGAGGGGGGGGGGGTGTCCATTTACTGTACCACTTACATTTTAGTGTGGGCTTCATCCACTATTCTGATGTTAGCTGCAACATTTGTGCCACCTGCTGGTTTGAAAGGGAGGCATACCATGTGCAATTCAGGAAGCTTTCCACGTTCCTCACTGCATGTCAGCTCGGGACCTCACTACCATGTTGGGAGGCAGTTGAAGACTAACCAATCAACATCCCAGGCTGGAGAGGAGTGCCAGCTCTGGGAGAATTTACCACCTGCAAAAAATTTAATACTCTTAATAATCTACACCATCTATCTCATCTTTACCTAGCCCCCAAACCTTACATTTGTCAGCATTAAACTGCATCTGGTAGTCTTAACCATTTCAAAACTATATAGGGCATCGGTATTTTTTATTTGCCAATTCTGCAACTATTGCAGTCTAAACCATAATCTTGCGAATAACCGAGGTCCAAGGAGAGCTTTTAGGCACTACTTACAACACTTCTCCCAACTTAACCCCATTTATACTAATTTCCTTTGGTATAGCCATGACCTAATCAACTTCAGTCAGCATTCCCAATGATCCGAGCCCCTATCAATTTTGCGCCACTATCAAAATCTCTGCTGAAGAGAAGGTACACAAAATCACAAACCTTATCACTATTTCCTCAACTATGCAACCTAATCCATGAACATTTAGTAATAAAACTATGCGATTCATGTATCTAGTCATGTTCTCAAAGAGTAGAGAAATGGCACTTGCAATGTTAATTCTAGTAACTTTCCTCACAATAGACCAAGCTAATTGGTCACTAACTTAAGCGTTAAAGTTAACTCAAACTTTTCCTTTAAAACTTGCTATATTAGGAACTTTCCACGACCGGCCTTTACCCGACATAATTAAATAGGGTAAAAACGGTATATTAAATGCAGTAAAACTACGGTAAATTCAATATGATAAACTTGCATTCTTTAAGCATGGGCTGCATAGTAAGTGAACTAAACTAAATGTTAAGCACCCTGGCAAACCACTTCGTTCTATTCAAATTTATTTAATCACTTTGTCCGGCTAGAATTTTAGATTAGATTAAAGGAACACCCTCCCTGGTAACGGCTGAACTAGTTAACCAAATACAAATATTTAGGTAAAATACTTTCATAAAACCCGTCTACTTCCCCCACCAGTAGACTTGTTCAGCTAAAGGCATAATGTAATGTTCCACTTTAGTAAATAAAGACTTAAAAAAACACTACCCCATCTGTGTAGTTACCGGTTACCTGACATTCTACGCTTAAAATAACCCATCTATTCCCCATAATTGTTCGATATAACTTACCTCTCACCCGCTGGTCGAGTACACAGCAGTATATATCCTCCTCCATCACTCACCGCGTGGATACTATTTCACTCTGGCCGCAAATTGCCTCAAATCACCTACGTTGTCCATAAACATATATAGAAGAGCAACTGACCGTAAGACCCGTATAGCGATCATCACATAACGTGGGAACATTAGTAGTACTGCTGTCAAAACATAGATGGCGCCAGGACAAACGGTAATTCCTATGGACTCGGATACAAGACACTCCGTACATTGACAACATCGTACACTAATATTTTTACCACTTCGGACACCAGCTTTAGACGTTTCGCATATGTGTACGTGTTCCATATTAAAACGACAATATAATGCTATTAACAATTAAAATCTTCTATTTAACAGGCATATAGTTATTAAATGAAGTTTAGTGATGTAATAGACATAATCCGGAGTTGGTAAGGAGCGCCGCCCGCCAGCGTAAAAACAACACACCCGAATGCCCACAAACACGATACAACGCACAAAACACAACACTTCTGTCAGTTTTTTGATAAACTCCTTTTATATTTATTATGTGATAGTTATACTTGCATAAAATGATAACTATTATAGGTAAGCGCTAATATTTAATATTAATCAATAAAAAGAAGTCAGAAGCCACACGCCTGTCTGTACATGTCTTTTGTGTAAAAGTATTTTGGGCGCTCATGTACTTGTGCGCTAGCTGGCGTTCACAACTGTTCTCGCCTACAAGCATTAGAATTAAACAAACGAATTTATTTTTTCATTTATATACAAGAAGAGAAGGCTACTCTTGAGTCTGTAATATTCATCTGATCACTAGTCTCCCATTTGGTCCTCATTGATTTATAAAAAAAAAAAAATAAAAAATAAAATGTTTATTTAGATAAGGTACATACATACAATAATTTTTTACAAAGATTGGTTGACTTATAGGTAGAGCTAGTACATACAATGCCTAAAGCCACTATTACGCAAAGCGTTTCGGGCATGATAAACTTAAATGACAAGCTTAATACTAATTGAGGATAATGAGTAGAATGAAAACAAGAAATGAAAACATAGATGAAAAAGCAGCACAAATACAATTATGTCGACAAACAGCGCTCTTAACAAAAAAAAAAAAAAAAAAAAAAAAAAACAGACATTGGTTGACAATAGAAGGGTAAGGTAGGTTACAGGGAATTTATTAGGTATAGCTTCGTTTTTAACTTAAACTGGTTGAGAGAGGTACAGTCTTTAACATGGTTGGGAAGGTCATTCCACATTCTGGGCCCCTTGATTTGTAGAGCATTTCTAGTTTGATTAAGTCGTACTCTAGGAATATCAAAACTGTCTTACTTAAAACTTATCTTAACTTATCTTACTTAAAAACTTAATATCAAAACTTATCTTACTATTATTGAATGTCAATAACCGTATTATGCAATTTCAATTTCTTCTATTTCTTTCTTTATTATGCACCCCATACCCATCCCGTGGGCGGTGGTGTAAAGGATTACAGAGGCACATAATCGGTTCAGGAACTGAACCCTCTAGTTCGGTTAGCTAAGCAAGTAACAGTGTTTGACGCTAGTTACAAAATTATTAATGTTGTATACACATGTCACACACTCATACATACATGTATGTACGAGGACTGGATCACTGTGTACAGGAGGCTGATATGGCAGCAAACACTCTCGGGCGACCATATATCTTGGATAAGTCGCTCCACACAATTGTCGCTTGGACCGTCGACTTCCTATGGCGTCACCTCTCACATATTACGTCTCATTTCGTTATGAAATTAGATTATTTCAGAGTAAAAATAGGTTTGATCATGTTCTACGTGTAGCACCAACATTATAGTAAGTAAATATAATATATTTCTTCATTACTTACGTAATGCTAGGACGATTTGTGTAGTTTTGGGGCCGATTTGGGTAATTCTATGGACCCGTCGGTAGATTAAACAAAAATGGAATGCATAGGAAGGAGTAGGTGGAGGCTGACGCAATACACACTTTCAAGTGTAGATGTGATAGAACCAATAGGCTCAGGAACCTGCTACACCAATTGATGACAGTAGAGACGGGACAAAGAGCTGAAGACCAACAAAAAGCGAGGTGTAAACACACAACTTTTACTTCATGCTGTATCAACATTCTCACCAAGGTCGAACTACTGACCATTCCAAATATGCAACCCCACAATTGTGAAAACTCCCTGATACCTACTTTTACTCGGTGAACAGGGGCACTAAGTGAAAGGAAATGTTCCCAACATTTCTGCCATACGAGACTCACGTATACAGAAAAGATCCTAGTTGTCCTACGTAATAGAATGCTAAACAAAAATTACCGGTAGATACGTAATTCTATTGCTAATTCATTCAAAAGACGTACGAGGAAGAAATCCTAGCCATCCCAAGATTGCTTATATGCAGCCAGTGCATGCACGTGATGGTAACCTTCCAACTGGATGGTGTTGGGGTGCATGATGTGCGGCGGATGTTCGCAGGCACAAGCACTAGCGACTAGAACGAGCCTAATTTCTTTCGATAAAATTTGAATCGGGTACAAACTTAGCCTCGGGAAAGGAGTTTGTTGATATACGTTGGGCATGTGAGAATGACCATAGAGGAAAACAAGAGAGCATTCATAAACATCAAAATGGTGCACAGGTTGTTGAACTAGCTAGGCAGTACAACAAATCTATGTCAACAATATGCACTATACTTGCTAAGAAGAAGGACATTATGAGCATTAAAGTGGCAAAGGGCATATCAACAATCCCGAAACAAAGAACACAAACACTTGAGGATGTTAAAAAGTTTTTATTAATTTGGATACACAACAAGGAGTTAGCAGGTGATAGCATTTCAGAGGCCATCATTTGTGAGAAACCAAGGCATTTGAATGAAGACCTTTAAATAAAACCCCTGGAACGAGGGGGAAAAAGATGAATCAAGTTTGAAAATGTGAAAAGTTTGTGTGACAATAGAGCCTCGTAGAAAACTTTTGCTGTGGTCATTACCTGGTGGAATGCACCCAGGATGGAGTATTAGGGCTATACATCTTTTTAAATCAATAAAAGTAATAAACCTTTCCCATCAACCTTACAAACCCATATTAACCTATTTTCATGTATTTCCCCCATGTGCATTTAAACAAAGTTACTACATTGCCTTTATCATTCTGTAAAATTTCAATTACAGTATACTGTATAGTAATTTTGTTAGTATAAATGGACTGAATATTCTGAAATCACAATTAATTTTACAATTTCAGATTCAAAGGTGGTCTGGACACCCA